AAGAGGAGGATGAGAAGGAGCAGGAGAACACGACGAGGACGACAATGGCGGCGACAGACTCGACGGCGTAGGCTGGGCACCTTTTTGGGGCCATCTTGGGGGCTTCGTTGACCGTTGTGGGAGCCTCTGGCGCCGTCGTCGTGAGAATCCTCTCGGGGGCCTGCGGGAGGCAGTTTGGAGGCTTCTGGGGAGCTGTTTTGGGGCAGCTTGGGGCTTTTTTTGGGCTTGTTGGGGGCCTCTTGGGGGCTTCTTGGAGCCTCTTGGAGGCCTCTTGGGGCCTCCTTGGCGCCTTTTGGGGCGGAAGGCTAGAATTTTAGGTTCGTGGTCCCCGTCTGGAGCCTTTCTTGGGCCCCTCTGTGGGCCCTCTTGGACTGTCTGAAGGCCCTCTTGAGCCGTTTTGAGGCGCTCTTGGGCCGTGTTGGGGCCCACTTGGGAGCCTCTCGGGTCGTCTTGATGCCGTCTTGGGGGCTTCTTTCGCCGTCTTGGAGCGTCGGAAGCCCGAAAAAACGCGAAGGCCAAAAACGTTGAAAAAACCAATGGAAATCGACGATTTTGGCCTCTTGGGGCCATCTTGGGAGGCGTCTTGGAAGCTTCTTGGGGCGTCTTGGAGGCATCTGGGGCCATCTGGAGGCCATCTTGACCGTCTTCGAGTGTTTTTTCGGCGACTCGGGGCCCTCTTGGACCGTCTGCAGAGCTTCTTGGGAGCCTCTTCGCTCGTTTGCGGCCCCCCCAGCAGACTCTCTGGAGCGGATGACCCCCCCCGGACCGCGCCGGCGGATCCCGGGGAATCCGGCCGGACCCCCCCCCCCCCCCCTCCAAAACGACCGGACCAGGCTCCGGGGGGAGGGGTTTGGGGAGGGGGGAAGCATCTCACACGCCGATGACCCCAAGGGGTCGGCGGATTCTGGCCCCATGTTCGAGCTGTCCCAGAGGGCCCACGACCTGCAGCCTGTTTTCTGGCACCAGAGGCCCGAGTCGGGCTATGTGGCTGGGATGTTGTTTCTGGACGGTTCGGCCCTGCTCCCTGGGTCCAAGACCCTGTCCGAGGCGGGGTGGTCCGTCGTAGTGTGCGACCGCTTTGGCGGAGTGCTGGCGGCTGCGCGCGGCCCCGTCCCGATGGGCCAAGGGCCCTTCCAGGCGTCCCGGGAGGCCGAGGACTATGCTGTGCGCGTGCTCTGTCAGGCAGTTCTGCCCCCGCTCGAGTTGTACATCGATTGCAAAGGCACGGTCTCGACGCTCTGGAGCGGCCCCTCAGCCGGGGCGAGCGCGGAGAATTCTCGGGCCCACGTGTGGGCTCCTTTTTGGGTGGCTCTCGAGCCCAACAATTTTTCGACGAATTGCGGCAACGATGCCGCCGACGGCTTCGCGAAGCGGGGTGCCGCCCTCCACGGAGTGGAGGAGAGCGAGTACCATCTCTGGCGTGGCCTGGCCGAGGCCTCGAGGGAGATGGGTGGGTCGGCGGAGCGGGCGGTTGCACGCGTTGGTAGGGGATGGAGAGGCCTGCCGGGACCACGACGATTTCACGGAGCGGTACCTGGCCAGCCGTGAGCCGGTGGAGGTTCCGCCAGACGAGCCAGGACGCCAGCCAGGCGGGCAGGCGCAGGGGTCGTAGAGTGTTGAGGCCCCCCCCCCTGGCAGGCCCAGCAGAAGGCTTCGATGAGCACCGCGATGCAGGGTATAAGTTCAACGGCCACCCGCTCCTGCATGCCACTGTGTGCGCCAGATCGGGTCGAGACGATGGCAAGGTAATCAATATTTGTTGCGCGCGTGTTGCTTTTTTCAGCTCCGAACGCACGTCGAAGGCCCTTCTCCTGCCGTGTCCCCGTGAGCTCGCAGGTTCGGGCCTGAAGTACCAGCTGGCCTTGATCAAGGCTGGCAAGTACCCCTCTTGCAAGGCGGATCTAAAAGACCTGTGCCTCCATCCCCCGGTCGGCGTCCCGCTGGGACTGCGGCTGCGTCTTGCGTCGTTTTTTGTCTCTGGCGAGCCCGCACCCAGCGCTTCGGCCCTGGACGCGGGGAGTGGGGGGCTGCGCGGTGCGGGTACCTCGGGGGGGAAGACGTCCCGAGCCGAGGTGCTGAGGGCCTTTGACTTTCGAGAGTCTGACCTGGCGGCCACCCGCGCCGAGGGCGCCAGACACCTGCGCAAGGGCGCAGAGAGTGGGCCCCTGATGCGAGGAAGGCGCTGAGGAAGGGGCCCACGATTTGTGATGTCGAGGAAGCCCCTGAGGCCTCAAGCGGCGGGCGCTAGGCGCCCGAACGCACCTGGCTTCAGGCCGCCTGCTCATCTTATCTCATTACCTCCTCTTCCTGATTTCCCCATTTGAGTTCCTCTTTCCGACCCTAAATCTTCTGACCTCTCCTCGCCCTCCTCCTTGTCGGCGGCAAGCGGGGGGGGGAAGTGAGAAGGAGAGGGCCTCAGAAGGCGGCGGGAGTTCTCAGAAGCCCTCGCGCCTTCTGATTCCAGGGGAGGCATAGAGAACCTCTCAGCATCTGTTGGGGGTCTTCTGAACCTTCTCAGAAGACTTTCTTATTCTCACTCCCCCCTCCCCCTCGCTCGCCGCCGAACGTGGTTTCCCCGCAGTATCGTCGATGCCGAGGTTGGCGGCAGAGGTGCAAGGGCGCCCGCCGACAGCTCCAAGCCCACGGCACGCTCCCTTAGCGACGACAGGTTCTGAGGCAACGACCGCGGCCAAGGTAAGACTCGATCGCAATGTGCAATTTGATAGATGGTGGCCTCCTAGATGGGGTCCGGATAGATGGGGTGGAAGGATCGCACCGCATCGGCGACGTCGGCATGGAGAAACACGGTCGAGCCGTATCGGCGTTGCATCGGCGATGCGGCGCGATCTTCCGACCCCACCAGCTTCGACCCCATCTAGGAGGCCTAGAAGAGATCCATCGAGGAGATCGTTGACGACCGCTCTCGGATGGCCACGGCCTCCATGAGCAGAGTTCTCTCGGCTCCATTGTGCTTCGTGGCATCGAGTCGGTCATCCCGTCGCGCTTCTTGCATTGCCTAAGTTCGGTGTCCTTGGCTGTGATGTCGCCAAAGGTCTTCGTGCTACACTCCTTGATCTGTTCAGCCAGCTCATCCTTGCATCGACGGGCTTTCTCGAGGTCCGAAGGGTCGACATCAGCGTACCTTGCCAAGCCGAACAAGCCATGCTCGCCCACATCCAATCCCGTACGGCGACCTTCCAAAATGTTCGGGGTGATGGTTGACGGTGTGGCAGGAGCAGGTGTGTGTTGGCCACCGAATGGAACCATTGCAAGGTGGAATTCCGCGATGGCCGCTCTGTAGTCGCGGTCGTACTTGTCCAAGTCCTATGAATTCGCCTCCAACTTGGCCCTCTGGTTGCACAATGTTTGTTGCAGGGCATGTGCAGCACGAATGTCCTTGTCCAGCTTTTCGATGCTGACGATCACCTTGTGGGCGATGCCAGCACGTTGTTGACGAGGGAGTCGGTGCAGTCTTGAGCTCCTCGGGTTGCCGCTGCGCCGGTTGTAACATATTCTGGTTGTCAGTGTTCTCGCAAGGTTACACGATCTGCCCTAGGCTAGGTCAGCCTTCTTGGGTGTGGCGAATGCGCTTGAAGCCGGGGCAAGCTGCTGACCTGCTGCCACCCCAGCAGCTTGGCGAGGAGCTGCTGAGTCGGTACGTTGCTTCTGCTCCCTACAGTACCTGACGAGTCCACTGGCTCGTTCCACCACTTCCTGCAGTGGTTGCAGTGCGAGTAGTGAGCTTCGCTTCGCTTGCAAATGCAATGACGACAAGTCCAGCAAGCGCCGCGGCTGCCATCGCGGCCCTGCTGATCATCCGTCGCGCCCTTCGCGGCGCCGCCGTGTGTGTTGTGTAAAGGTGGGCCCGTAGCCACGAAGGCCCGCTGTTACCCCGCCGTTCTGAAGTGTCCGTGGGCAAGGTCAGCGTTGAGAGGTGGGGTGCAAGCAGCGCGACCGCTCCTGAGCCACAACGGCTACTTTGAGCAAAAATGGGGACGGAAGATGGGGAGGAGGAGGCGTAGCAACAGCAGCAGAAGGAGGTGAATCACGAGGGTGGGATGAGGAGAAGGAGGCGCCGAGGAGAAGGAGGAGTAGGAGGAGGACCAGTGTAAACCAAGACGCATCAACGATGTTGGAATAAACCCTCCCCCGAAGCTCCCTCTTGACAGGCCCCATACAAGGATTCCTTTCCATTCAGAGAAGTGCCCCGTTGGGAGGCAACCGTTTGAAGATCCTGAAGCGTGCCAGCACATCATTCTCGGAACTTCAACGCCACGAATCCACCTGGCCGTGTTGCGTCTTGACGATCCTGAAGCGTGCCAGAACATCATTCTTCGGACTTCAACGCCGCGACTTTCGGATTTGCTGCGTCGTGAAAACCCCGCATCGCTCCCACACGTGTGCAGGTGTTTGAAACGAGCGTGCGCGGCGCTCAAGCGAGAGCCACAGTTTGAAAAAGGACGCGCCCTCAATCCGTCAAGATTCTGCAATTGCTTAAGACTTAAGACGTATTTGCGCGGCGCTAAGGCGAGAGCTACGTTTTGAAAACGATCCGCCCTGAGTCTGTGAAAGTCTTGCCATGGTTTAAGACGAGTGCGCGAGGCGCTAAGTCGAGAACCACATTTTGAAAACGGCCCGCCCTCAATTGTTTCAACAGTTGCCAGTGCTTAGGCTTCGGGACTATCACTGGTGAGGAAGTCTCAGGCGAAACGCCTGTTCCGCCCGTCCGACTGGCCTCGTGTTGCGACAAGTAAGAGTTGTTTTAAGAAACAAGAATGGAGGAGCTGGAGGAGCTGGAGGAGGAGGAGCAGCAGCGTGGACCATTGGCGTCGTGCAAGTTAATGCCAGCACCTGCAGCGAGATTATGAGTGGGATGTGTCCTTCTGCTGGTCCTCATATTCCTACTCGTTACCCCACTTCTGCTTCTGGCGCGAGTCGGAGCATGCTGATGCAACACGATGCTATGTTCGAGTACACCGCCGCGTTTCCGCGCCCGCCAGCTCTTGCATATCACCACGGAGACCGATCAGAGCAATTGGCACAAGGCGACCTGGGTGGCAACTTTGATGCTGGAAGATCGTCGGGAGGATGGGGCGAGGAGGACACGCAGAAATAAGGGGGGCTGTGAGAAGCAGGAGAGGGTGCACACGTCGAAGGGCGTCTTGGTGGAGGTGGCCGGGGGTTGGGTCGGCAGGTCGCCCGAATCTGCATGACCAAGTCGAAGTGAAGGTCGAGTTCAGGTTGGTCGCAGTACGTATGAGCCAGATCCTCTCTTCGGGAAGTACAGTGGCCCCAGCCTGGGGGTAGGCTGAAGCTGAGGACACCCTGACGTAGCTAATGAAAACGGGGGAGGCGCGGGAGGTGGAGGCGGAACAACAGCAGCACAAGGAGCAGGAGCTGGGGCTGCGGCCTGGGATGCATCTTGGGAAGAGGGAGGCGGCTTTGAAGAGTCCGTGCGCTAGTTTCGCCGAACGCCTGGACGGGGGGGCGCACAGGGCGGGTGGGGTGACTGGGGCGGCTTTCTAAGAAGGCACCTTGCCTCTCAAAAGCCCTCCTGCCTTGAGAGAACCGGGGGCAGGACCATAACCACGATACGCACCATGTTTGCAACCGCTACCCTGAACAGTATGGTGGGCATTCCCCAGTACAGGTTTGTGAACGTGAGCCTCTCGACTAATTAGTACGATGTGCGTTCGGGCGACATGCCGCATACCTTAGCGTACACGTGTGCCCCTCCCAAAGAAGCCTTCTCGGAAGTTGAATCAGGGACAACCTTGGGGGGGATAGGCTCAGCGGAGGACGCATCGACCCCCTATCGCCCATGAATCGCCGATGGGCGCCCGCTAGCCCAGGAGGGTTCGCATTAGCTGTCGTGGGCCGATCGCCGATCGATCGGTGATGCATCTCCAATTCCAGGCCGATGGTCCCCCCCCTGAGACTGCCCCCACTCTTCGACGTGTGCATATTTCTCGGCGAGGGCCATCGAGGAGCACCCCAGGATCTTCGAGCAAAAACGCGCACGAGAACGTTCACTGCACGGGGAGTGGACGGCCGAGCGACAGCCAGTCCATCGCTGCCCCTCACTGAAGCTGGCCCCTGGTTCATCGGAGGGCCCCCCCCCCTCGCTTCACCCCCTACCTGCACGCGCCAAGTCGCCGCGCGCGTCAGCACTGGAAGAGCGTCCAGCGATGGAGCGGTGGCGCGGAAAGAGGGAGGGCTTCGAAGGAGGAGGGCCCGTTGATAAATCGGCGGCACACTCCTCCTCCGCCTGCTACTCCTCCTTTTCCGCCTCGTTCTCCTCCTACTGCTCCTCCTCCTCCTCCTGCTCATTCCCCATACTCCTCCTATTCATCGTCATTCCCCCTTCTCCTCTCCCTCCTCATTCAAAAGGTCCGACGACGACTCAAGCGGCGATCCTCCGAGAAGGGTGAGGGGACAGCTGTGAATGAAATGAAGGAGAAGGAGAAGGAGGATGATGGGGGAGAGAGTGGGGGAGTAAGAGGAGGAGGAGGCGGAGGAGGAGGAGGAGGAGGAGGCGGAGGAGGAGGAGGAGGAGGATCAGAAGCCGGGCGACGGCTGGCAAACCCGTGGCTGCTAAAATGGAGCTCCGGGACATTGTTTTGCATCTTCCGGGAAGCAGCCCGTTTACCAGTCAGTGCGCTGAGCTTGATTCCGGGAAGTTGTTTTCTTATTCCGGGAAGAGCGTTTTGGCAGTCACGGATTTGCCAGCCCTCGCCGAGTTTCCAAGAGGAGGAGGAGGAGGAGGAGGAGGAGGAGGAGGAGGAGGAAGTGGACCAAGAAGAGGAGGAGGAGTTTTTTTGTGAGCCTTGCGATGGACTCTTGGGGACATTTGTCGGGGCCTCCCCTCTTGCGGGCCGTCTTGTGAGCCTCTGGGGGGAGTTTTTGGCCGTCTTGGGGTGTTCTTGGCGGCCGCTTTGGCCGTCGTGGACAATCTTAAAGACCGAGTTGCCAAGTGTGGCCTCTTGAGTCAGCTCATGGGACATCCAAGCCAGCCTAGGACTTTCCTATTGAGCTATCTCAGGGCACGTGGGAAGTGTGGCTACTCACCACGCTCCCGAGGCATTTGGGAAAGTTATGCGCGAAGCTCCGGAAACGCCCAGGAGCGCCAGAATGATTAGAATCCAGGGTCTGGAGCCTTCGATGTGCTCTTTAAAGCACTCCATGCAGCGAGCCCGAAGGGGCCCGAGGACAATTCACGCAGTGACTCTACGACACAGTAACGGACAGGCATCTTGCTGCAGACCGATGGGACGGAGGATCAGCAGCAGTGTGGAAGCAGAAGGAGGGGCAGGCGAAGAGGGCGGCGGGGGAGAGGGAAGTGCTTATGAGGGAGAATCGGGAGAAGAAAGGACAGAGGAGGAGGAGGAGGAGGGGGAGTGTCAGCAGCAAAAGAGGAAGTAAGAGAAGGACAAGAAAGAGGACTCGGAGGAGGAATGATATTCAGCCCCTTCAGACGCGTTGCTAGACTTCCCGCGATCGGAGCCTCTGCAGACGGAGTGTCGCGAACCCGATACTGGTGAGGCCCTGAAGGGATGCGCCCTCCCTCCTGGTCGGGAGACGCTCGCCTTCCTCATTCAGATGTTCAGGCGATCGCAAGCATGGATCAAGCGGACGTGGATCAGCGACGGGTCCCGTTTCCATGGGAAATCGCTGATTTCCGCCGCCGAACGAGGCGGCACCGGCCGCGTTCTGGGGAGGGGACCTCCCCCGATCCACGGATTTGGCGACCGCGCGCCGAATCCATGGATCGCCAATTGTTTGCGCGCCCCCGAGATGTGGACGTTTGCTGACTGGGACGCCCCTGCGTGCCTCGCAGTTCTATGTCTCTCCGAGCGCCGGCACGCTGAGGGAATTCACGCGCGCAGCCGCGAGGGAGGTTTGGGGGGCCGCGGAGGTTCTGTCGCATCAGTTCCGCATGTCCTCCCACAGACTCTTAGTAGTTGCCATCATTGTTCAAGCGGCTTATCGCATTCCCCAAATCATTGGATACCGATTTTGTTATGTCGCGATCGGTAGCGACCGATCGGCACTCCAAATCGGTCGCGACAGATTGGTCGTGACCGATCGGTCGCGACCGATTTTGTGGCAAATCGGTCGCGACCGATACCGAACTTTGAGGCAATATCGGTAGCGACCGTTCTCGTCGGTCGCGACTGCACAATTCCAGTATCCAATGATCAGGGTCTGCCGACCTCAGATAGTGTGAAAAGTCAACGGGGGTCGCCTCGTTCAGGTCAACAGGATTTCGAGTGCCCGCGATCGGTGTTGAGCTGAGAACTCCTGGGAGGCCAGTCGACTTGGTTGTGGCTTCGGTGGAGGGAGGCTCTCGTGCGGGAGCGGATAGCACAGAGAGAAGCGTAAGAGGAGCAGGAGTGGCAGAAGGAGCAGGAACTCGAGCAGGTGAAGTAGGGGACTTGAGGGACGGTGAAAGCAGGAATCCGGAATTGCGGAGGAGGGGGGAGAGGAAGAGGGAAATGGCTGGCACGAGGAGTGGCAATGTTCCCGACCAGTGAGTGTTGTAATGGGTGGCCTTGACACGTGTGTGACCGAACATTTTGGCGGGCAGGTGATGTGCCGGGGAGTTCCTCACACCCCCTCTCCTCCCCACCCCCCACCATCAAGCAGCAGTTCGGATATCCGGGAAGGGGAGAGAGGGGCTGGGCACAGCCAATCATCTCAAACGCCTTGTTACCCCCTTCAAGCGGGGATCGGCGGATTCTCATCATCAGTGTGATCATCCACATTACAATTCGTATTAAGAGTATGCTTATTCCCGTCGTCCTTTTTGTTGTTATGCCGTGTACGGGGGCTATTCGTCTTCGTGTTCGACACGCTCGCGCTACATATATACATACACACATACACATATATGTATACACATATGTATTTATGTACACATATGTATAATAAGTGTTCGCGCGCTCTCTTCATGCTTTGTTCGTTCCTGACGTGTCACATATACATATATATATGTGTTATTCGGCCGTGGAATGCGTTTTCGCTAGATATGCAGTGTGGCATCGATTTGCATTAGGATTCGTATTAGTTGCACGGTCGCTGACAATGGTATGTGTGTTCTCACTCGCCTCATTGATGTCACGACTGCTTTCTTATCTATACGAATTGCTTTGTTTATAGCGATGTTAATGCTAGTGATTCGTCTGCTTTTTTTCGCACTTCTCACTCATTGCCGAGATTTGATTATCCTCGCATCACCGCGGACAATTCGTCCGTGCACCACCAGACTTTCACCAGGTGACACCATCGGGAAACCCACAGAAATGTTCGAAGCAACAGCGTCATAACATTTCTTTCGTGACATCACCGGGGGGTACCAACGAAACCATATAGAGCATACTCGGCGGCGTGGGGTGGGGCAGGTGGGTTGGCTTGAGGAGGAGGGTCTGTCCCCACTCCCCCCCCTACCCTTTCCCCCCACGCGGGATGTTTTTTTACTTGATTGTTTTTCCTCGTGATAGGCCAGAGGCGCAGGGACGTAGAACAAAGCACAGACTCGCGTTGGGATCAGTGCGCCTGGAGGGCTTAACTGTTGCTTCGCACGGCGCGAAACCAGTTGCACAACGAGTGGCCCGACACACACCATACACACGCATTAACCGCTGCGTTGCGTTGCGCGGTGGCGAATTGGCACCGCCGCAGCCATCCCAACAATATGCCATTGGATGCGATGTCTGCCGCATCCTGGTATATGCAGCGTATGCTTACCAGTATTGCTAATGTCAGCGGACGTCAACATCACCACCATCACGGCTCCCAGGAAAATCATGCCAGCAGACACGTCAGCGTTCGCAATGTCGGTTAGCGCCATTGCTTCTGCGTTGGTGGATGTGGTCGCCGTCGGCAGCGGTGCCGTCGTTTTCATGATTATTGTAAGGACTTTTCGCTCAGCGTGCCGTTCCACCGGTTCTGGCCCACCACGCTTCGGTTGGGCGCTGCGTAATGGGGGGGTCATAAATGGGGGGGTGGCGAGGGTGGTTCGAAAAGGTACCCAAACGGTACCTAAACGAGCCCCCTGGGGCTCTGGAGGGGCCCGAAAGGGGCACGAAAGGGGACCTTTTCTGACCCCCCCATTTGTGACCCCTCCATTAAGCAACGCCCAATTCGGCGTGACACGCTATCCGCGTCCCAGTCCCCAAGTGTCAGCGTCCCGAACATTTCCCAGCCTCCCGCCATGCGGAGCGGAGCGACGCGCTATCCGCTTGCAAAGCGTAGTGCAGCGCCAGGGCCGCCGCCGCGACACGCTAAGCAAAAGTTCTTGATCGCATGCCACTATTCCGTATCATCCTTTTGTTCGATCTCTTCTTACCCCAAAACATCATCTTCATTTTGCGAGTTCTTCCTCGCTCACGCTCGCGGCGAAGGCAAGCGTCTGCAGCACTTATGGGCCGCGGCCCACGAATGAGGACCGGCACATACTGGAGTGCAATTGGACGACTTTGCCAGGCCTGGAGGGGGAGAAGTAGGATACGTACTGTATGAGCCAGTTGCTTCATGAAGAAAGATGAGCACATCACGGAGGATAGCGGAGGAGAAGGAGAGTGGACGAGCACGAGGAGCGGGAGGGGGAGCATGATGATGACGACGGTAGAAGGAGGAGGCAGAGGGAGTGGCGGAGATGGAGGTGGAGGGGGCTGGGGTGGAGGTGGAGACGGTGAAGCCTGAGGCACAGACGTATGTATGGGTGAAGGCCCAGGCTCTTCCTGAAGGTCTACAATCTACACGATCTGAAGGGTCTCTGGCTGTCCCGCGGCCTTCCTTCTCATCGCCCCTCGCTCGCCTGCGCCCCTGCGCCTCAATTCGCATGGATGCGTCCCACCGTGTACTTGACCGCTTGGTTGACCCATTTCGCCATAGACAAACAACAAGTGGGCGAAGGCGGCGGGGGTGGCTGGTATTGAGGGGACGGGTGTTTCGTCATCCTCATTGTCGTCTCCGTCCTCGCCGTCGCCCACCTTTGCCCACCCTGTTTCCCGCTTGATGTTTCGACCTCCAGTTATGTCCTGGAGCGCGTTGTGGCAAGAATGTCGAGGCGGATGCCGCCGTGGCCACGCGGGCGCCACAGGAGTCTTCCACCCCCCCAAGAGGGCAGAGTCGTCCAGGGTCCAGTCGGGGGGGCGCGCAGGAGGACGCACGGCATCCCCTTCTTGCGTCCGCTTTGGCGAGGCAGTGGGTGCGTTGTCAGGGCAAGGGTGCACCAGCGAGAGTTGCTCATCCTGGGGTCCTCGAGGCCGCCGTGGAGTTGCCGATGTGCAGGGGCCGCCAGGACGAGGCCACACGGGAGAATATGCAGGATATTTCGGGTCTTGCCTCTTTGGTGCAGAAGAGACCTGTCAAGGCCCACGGGCACCTGACCCCGTAGGCCTACCCGTGGTCTGGTGCAGGTCCTCCCACAGACGAATCGTTGTACCCTTTGCGGAGGCCGTCTGGCCCTTGCAATCACCGTAGACACGCTGACGGCAATGGAGGTAACGGCGATGTAGGCTTCGGTACTGTAGGTGCGGGTGGTTCGTGGCCAGTCCAAATGTCGGGAAGCGTTGTCCAGATTTGCCCGCAATTTGTTCTGCGCGAGTACGGTGCCGCCCACACCACATTCCCAACATCGCCGTTAACCCACGTCGCCGTCAGCGTGGCTTTGGCATCATTCTTGCCGAGGTCGCGAGATGGACCGCGCGAGAGGGGCGCACGCAGGGCGGGGGGAAGGGGAAGGGGGACACACTCGGGGTATCTCACAGGCGGGCCGAAGGGAGCACGGAGCTCATCTCCGCTGTCATCTGCTCCAGCGGGGAGGGCTGCATCTGTGTCCAGGCGTCTGTCGAGGAAGCGCAGGCCTCGACCAGGGCGCTTGGATGAGCGACGGGTCCCGCTTTCAGGCGACATCGGCGCGCTGCGTCGCCAAAGGAGGGTGGCGCTAGCTTCCTGTCTCGGGGCGCTATTTTCGCCGATCTTCGTGTGTCTGGCGTTCTCGAGCCAGATCCACGCGGATCCGTACATCCACGTGAGCGCAGGCCTGGATCTGTTGTTTCTGTTGTTTCGTTCCGAAGCCGCGTGCTCAGCGGGGTGCCGATGTGATAGTAGCCAGTCCAGGCCGAGGAAGCGAAAGCAAGCACATCCTCAAACAACTTGTGTGGTCCGGGCCTTCTCGCGTGAGACATGATCACGACTCCCGGTTCCGAGTTGGCCAGGATTGGGCGTTTGATCTGAAACATCATCGAACATCGGAGCTCCGAGATGCCGCCGAAGTGGGGGTCTGGCGCTTTTCGCCTGAGACATGTTCGCAGTTTTGATCTCTGAGATGCCGCGTGCTAAGTGGTCTGGCGCATTTCGCTAGAGACATTCTCGCAAGTCTGGGCTCCGAGATGCTGCGCGCGAGGTTGTCCGGCGCGTTTCGCCTGAAACATCCTCGCATTTCGGGTCTTCGAGGTGCCGCTCGAGGGGTGGTCCGCCGCATTTCGCCTAAAACATCCTCGCAATTCTTGGCTTTGAGATGCCGCGCACGGGGTCGTCTGCTGCGTTTCGCCTGCGACTTCTTTGCCATTATGTTCTCTGAGATGCCGTGCGCGAGGTGGTCCAGTCCGTTTCGCGTGAGACATCCTCGCACGTCTGGGTTCCGAGATGCCGCGCGAGAGGGGGTCTGGCGCGATTCGCTTGAGACATCCTCGCAACGTTGGGCTCCGAGATGTCGCGTGCGAGGTGGTGCAGTGCGTTTCGCCTGATCCTCGCAACTCTGGCCTCCAAGACGCCGCGTTCGAAGTGGTCTGGCGCGTTTCACCGAGACGTCCTCGCAATTTTGAGGTCCGAGATGTTGCGCGCGAGGTTGTCCAGTTCGTTTTGCTTGATCGTAGTCCAAGGCTTCCAGCAGTCAACGAAAAACCCTTTTCATCCCTCATCCCGTCTCCACCCCTCTCTCGCCTCCCTCCTCCCGCCTCCCGCCTCCCGCCTGCTGCGCCTGTGCCTCCGCTTCGCCGTCGCCGCCTCCATTGATTTTTCCTCCTCAGCATCCGCCAAGCGCGCCCCACCTGCCCTCCCCAGACACCCGACGTCACGATTTTTATTTCGAGACGTGGGCCCGCGGATCTCACGATCTCATCCCCGTGATCATTCGTTCTTCGAAGTTTATCTCCCAAACAGTATGCTGAACGGGCTGCTGTTGTGATCTGCGTAACTGGTCGGGGGGGCGCCCAGAGACATCATCAACAAACGTTGGTGGTCTGGGCCCTTTCGCCTGAGACATCCTCACAACTCTCGTTTCTGAGTTGGCTGTGATTGGGCGCGCGCCTGAGACATCCTCGCATCTCAAGTCTCCGAGATGCCGCGCGAGAGGTGATCCGGCACGCTTTGCTTAAGACATCCTCGCATTTCTGAGCTCCGAGCTGCCGCACGAGAGATGGTACAGCCCGTTTCGCCTGAGGCATCCTCGCACATCTGCGTTCCGAGATTCTGCGAGAGAGGTGGTCCGGTGCGATTTGCGTGAGACATTCTGACATCTCCAAGCTCCGAAATGCCGCGCGCGAGGTGGCATGGCGCGTTGCGCCTGAGACATCCTCGCAACTCTGAGCTCCGAGGTGCCGCGCGCGAGGTGGTCCAGCCTGTTTCGCTTGAGACATCCTCGCAATTCTGGCCTCCGGGATGCCGCCCGCGAGGTGGTTTGGCGCGTCTCGCCTGAGACATCTTCGAAATTCTGGGCTCCGAGAGGGGGCAGGGAGGGTGGAGGGGTCAGAACCAAACGAACCATTGGATTACACTTCTGTTGTCAAATCATATTCTAGGAAGGAGGGCGCCGCCTGAGACATCCTCGCATGCCGCACGCGTAGTGGCTCGGCCCGTTTCGCCCGAGACATCTTCGCAACTCTGGGCTCCAAAACGCCACGCGCGCAGTGGTCCCGCGCGTTTCGCCTGAGACACCCTCGCAACTCTGAGCTCCGAGCTGCCGTGCGCGAGGTGGTCCGGCGCGTTTCGTTTGGAACATCCTCACACCTCTCTGGGCTCCAAGACGCCGCCAGCGAGGTGGTCCGGCGCGCTTTGCCTGAGACATTCTCGCAATATTGAACTCCGAGTTGCCGTGCGCGAGGTGGTCTGGCCCATTTTGCCCGAGACATCCTAGCAACTCTGCGCTCCAAGACGCCGCGCGCGAAGTTGACTGACGCGTTTCGCCTGAGAAATTTTCGTAACACTGAATTCCGACATTCCGTGCGAGAAATGGTCTGGCGCTTTTCGCTTGAGCCATCCTCACGACTCTGATCTAGGATATGTTTCGCGAGATGTGTTCCAGCCCGTTTCGCCTGAATCATCCTCGCAATTCTGAGCTCCGAGATGCCGCACGCGAGGTGGTCCTGCCCGATTCGCCCGAGACAACCGCGCAACTCTGGGCTCCATACGCCTCGCGCGAGGTGGTCGGGCGCGTTTCGGCTGAGGCATCCTCGCATCTCTGGGGTCCGAGATGCTGCGGGTGAGGTGGTTTGGCGCCTTTCGCTTGAGACGTCGTTGCAACTCTGGGCTCCGAGAGGGCGGAGGGAGGAGGAGGGGTGAGACCCCAAACGCACCATTTGATTACGCTTCTGTTGTCGAACTGTGGTCTGGGAGGGGTCTGCTCGCCGCCTGCCTGCTCCATCCTCGCATGCCGCGCGCGAGGTGCTCCAGCCCGTTTCGCCCTAGACATCCTCGCAAATCTGGGCTCCAAGACGCCACGCGCGATGTGGTCCGCCGCGTTTCGCCTGAGACACCCTCTTAGCTCTGGGCTCCGAGATGCTGCGCACGAGGTGGTCTGGCGCATTTCGCATGAGACTTCCTCGAAACGTTGGGCTCCGAGGAGGAGGAGGGAGGAGGGAGGAGGGAGGAGACCCAAACGAACCATTTGATTACGTGTCTGTTTTCGAGCTATGCTATTGGAGGGACCTGGGCGCCGCCTGAGACATCCTTGCTTATCTGAGCTCTCAGGTGTCGCGAACAAGGCGGTCCAGCCTGTTTCGCTTGTGATCTTCGCAACTCTGGGCGCCGGATGCTTCGCGCAATGGGGTCCAACCCGTTTCGCTCGAGGCGCCCTCACGACTTTGGCCTCCGAGATGCCGCCCGCGAGGTGGTCTGGCGCGCTTCGCATGAGATATCTTCGCAACTCTGCGCTCTAAGGCGCCGCGCGCGAGATGGTCTGGCGCATTTCGCGAGACAACCTCTCAACTCTGGACTCCGAGATGCTGCGCGCGAGTTGATCTGGCCCGTTTCGCCCGAGACATACTCGCAGCGTTGGGCTCCGAGGAGGAGGAGAAGGAGGAGGAGGAGGGAGCAGGGAGGGGGGGTGAGACCCAAAACGCACCATTTGATGACTCTTCTGTTTTCGAATTTGCTGTAGGAGGGGTGTGGGCGCCGCCTAAAGCTATCTTTGCAATTCTGAGCTCCCGGATATCGCGCGCAAGCTGGCCCAGCCCGTTTCGCATGAGAGGTCCTCGCGACTCTGGGTTTCGAGAAAATGTGCGCCAGGTGGTCTTGCCCGTTTCGCTTGAGACATTTTCGCAATTCGGGACTCCGAGATAATGCGCGCGAGGTGGTCCAGCGCGTTTCGCTCGAGACGTCCTCGAAATTCTGGGCTCCAGGAGGGAGGAGGGACGAGGGGTCCGTCCGAAACGAAGCATCTGACTACTCTTTCTGTCTGTGAGCTGTGCTGTGGGGGGGGAGTCTTGGCGCCCCTGGCCCGACGCAGGAGGTACCAGCGCCCCGGCTCGAGCGCGATTCCTTGGTGGTGCATTCCGAGGGTTTCTCAGGGAGGAGCCATGCTTGAGCAGATCGTGGCGATGCTGGGGCGGGAGCGTGGTGAGCAGGGAGAAGGCAGGATGGGGCAGGAGAAAAGGGGGGAGGAACAACGATACTGGCGCGATTCCTTGGGGGTGAATTCTTTACGCTTCGCGTATCGCCACCAGCCCATCTCACAACGGCAACTCTTGCGAAGCATGCCGACAGTCGTGTGTTTCAGGCGTGCGTCCGCTTGGCCCCGCATGTCTCCCCTGTTCCTCCTTCCTCCCGCCTCCTTGTACATCCTCCTTGTGGGGGGAGCGGGAGAAGGACGAGGCGGAGGAGGACGGGCTCTCTAAACCACTCACGCCCAAAGGGCTGGTGGGATTCCGAGGGTTTCTCAGGGAGGAGCCCTGCTTGAGCAAATCGTGGCGATGCTGGGGCGAGAGCGTGGTGAGCAGGGAGGAGGCAGGGTGGGGCAGGAGAAAAGGGTGGAGGAGCAGCGATACTGGAGGAGGGAGACGGAGCCAGGCCCAAGCGCCCCCTGGCAAAGATGCTTGGAGGTGTAGTGGAAGGGGGGAGGGCGAGGGCGAGATGGAGAATGACGCGGATGCGGAGGAGGACGATGACGACGACGATGGCAAACAGCTCGACGACGACGACGACGACGACGCCGAAGGCGCAGGCGGATCAGGAGCAGGAGGACGCGCGACCACGTTGAGGAACCTCCTTGGCCAAAAAAATGCTGCTCTGGGATATTTGAATATGGCTGCCCTTTTTTCCTCAGAGCGATGATATGATGCTCACGGTCCTATCGTTTGGTGCCATGGCCTGGAGGCCCGGACCTCGAGAAGCGCCAGCCGTCGGGATCGCTCCAGGTCGCGGGAAGAGGGCTTGGTGCACCTCGTAAGCCCGAGCTGCTTGCCTGCGGCGTGCAGCAAGTGTGGGGGGGGGGGTAGCTCGCAGGAGACCTTCTCACAGGAGTCGGCGGTGAGCGAGGAGGGAGAATGAGGAGGACAAGGCCTCCTCAGAAGGCGGCGGGGATTCTCAGAAGGCCTCTGGCCTGCCGAGAGGTGTTCTGTGTCTTCGGGGAAGGCTTAGAAAAGTTCTCAGAAGGCTGGGGGACTTCCGAGTTTTCTGAGGAGGCCCGCCCCTTCTCATTTTCGCACCTGCCTCGCCGCCGAAGGAGCTTCCTGGTAGTAAATGTCGAGGTATCCGCTTGTCTTGTAACACATGTATATCTGCGAATGGCGCCACACAGCACTCCGTAGCGCCGACTAGCGCTCATATAGCGCCTAATAGCGCCGAATAGCACCATGAAGCGGAGATGCATTATGTCCGCTTCCGCTTCGGGCGCGATAAAAGGGGCGCGCTATTGGGCGCCATGGGGACGACCAAAAGCTTCGGTGGGTTGTTTTCGGAGAGCCTCCCTGTCAAAAGGAGCAGGGCCCTCCCAGAGGGCCCCATGCCGGGTAGCACGAAGGGGGAGGGCAGGGAAAGGAGGGGTCACGAAACTTGCGGCGTGTAGCTGGTTTCCGCCCCGTCACCGGGCGCCTTCCTCGGCACGTGGGCGCCCAGGGCGCCGCGGGGCGCCAGGGAGACCAGCTGCGCGAGTCAACTCGCGAACCCCCCTTTGCTCCCCCCCGTTCGCCTGACATGACCTCGGCTCCTGAGCCTCCCCCCCCCTTTCGTCTGACATGACCTCGCCCCCTTCACTGGGGGCCGTGCCTCGTTCTTGGTCCGCCTCGGATGGCCCTCCTGGGAGCCGCTGAATAAGTGCCCCGGAGGCTGAGAATCGAGGGACCTGGTCGCCCCCTGACCACTAGATCCAATTGTTGGTCGGTCGCGATCGGCAGCGACCGACCGACACTCCAGATCGGTCGCGACCGATCGCGAGCGATGCCCTCCTCGGTCGCGACAGGTCGCGACGGAGCGTTCGCGACCGGTCGGTCGAAGCAGGTCGGTGGCGACCGACACCGGCACTTGAAAGTAACCTCGGCAGCGACTGATCTTGTCGGTTGCGGCTGGGGAATTCCAGTATTCAGTATCGTTTACCCGATCCCCAGCCCCATCCCCATCCCCTTCGATACCCCCACCAAATTACTACCCCAGTTGGGGACACACCCCTCGAAACCCGAAGGGAACGGCCTATATCCCCATCTAGGGGGGTAAATCGGCCAGTGGGGCCCATGCCACGCCGCTGGGGATAGGGATCGGCTGAACGATACTCAAGTATCCGAGGACCAGGGTCGGAGATCTGCTGCCTCGTGCGCACCGCCGAGGGCTGGCCGGGAGCCCCGTTCGGGCCCGCGTCTCGGGGGCAACGTTTTCGGGGACAGTGTCGGGGGGGGGGGGGGACGCATCGACCCCCAATCGCCCATTCCTCGCCCACTCCGCCCAGGAAAATGCGGATTCGCCATCAGGGACTTGTCGCCGATCTATCGGCGACGTATCGCCGATTCCAGCTCCCCAGCCCTCTGGCGTCGTGATTCGTTCGAAACGTGGCCCCCCCCAGAAGTCTCGACAGATTCGCTGGAACCAGCTTGTCAGCCTATATGCGTTTTGCGTGTCCCGGGGCTGGGGGAGCGCCCAGATGCCAAAACTGGCATCTTATGTCATTTGTGTATTGGTAGATGTGTTCACGCCATTGCATGGGCTGCCCCCCCCAATCGGCGATGTATCGCCGAGCTCAGCTAAATGTTTCCCCACCTGAGCTGGTTTCCTATCGCCCTATGTGCCTAGCATGGGCTTGACCACTCGTCTCCAATCGACTCGTGGGGATCAAGCTAGATGAACCGAGGCAGAGTTGAGCAGATCCACAACAAGCATACAACTCCACACAAGGTCAAGTAGGTCCAGAGAGATCCAGGTACACTCGTAAGAAATCGTGGAAATCGTGTGGCCAAGAAATCGTGGAAGCCGCGTGGACCTCAGCATCACCGGGCCACGGAGAGGTGTTTCATCCTCCGCTGTTCTTTCACTGCCCCAGGGCCCGGCGAGGGCCCCCAGAGGCCGAAATCAGCAACACACATTTCCCGTCGTGATGTATCACGGCGCGAGGGTGTCTATTTTGGAAGGTTTCTGGCTGCGCAAGGAGGGGGGGGGGCGGGGGAGTGGGAGCGACAAGCTAGGTGCGCTCGCGCCATACCTCATCCCCCCCTCCCCCCATCCGTGCCCACTGGCGCTGATCAGGGGCAACGATAGGGGGGGATCGGCATAGGGGGTGGACGCATAGGCGGCCCCGAATCGCACACTGATCGCCGATAGGGGCTGGATAGCGCCAACCTGCCCAGGAACGTTCGGATCCACTATCGGGGGCCGATCGCCGATCTATTGGCGATGTATCGCCGATTCCAGGTCGATGTTGTTTCCCCCCCTACGCCTATCCCCCCCGCTCGTTGCCTCTCAGCTGACTTGTTCTGGACCCGCGGACGCGCGTCGTAGCAGACCCCGAACTCCCCAAAGCACCCCGCTTTGTGCTGCGCGCAGTCGACATCGTGAAAAGACCTGAGGGCCACCCCCCACCCCCCCCGTGCACGCCCCCTGACGGGGTGCCCGCGAGCCTCCCCGCTCGGGCCTCGTGCCGCCCTCAGGCCACGCGGGCTCCGAGGCGCCCGGTGCCCCCGCGGCGCTCTTCGCCGTCTGCGACGGGCACGGCGGCGCCTCCGTGTCGTCGAGCGTGTCCAGGAGCCCTTGCCGCCTCCCGGGCGGGCCCGCTCGTCTCTAGGCCTCCTAGATGGGGTCCGAGCAGATGAGGTCGGAGGATCGCGCCGCATCGCCGATGCATCGACGATGCGGCTCTATGTGGAGCCCGTGTTTCTCCGCGCCCACGTCGCCGATGCATCGCCAACGTCGCCAGTGCATCGCCGATGCATCGTCGATACATCGGCGATGCATTGGCGATGCGGCGTGATCCTTCGACCCCATCTACTCGGACCACATCTATAGGAAGCCTCTATCGTTGTCGTCGGTCGGTCGGTCGGCCAGTCGTCGTCGTCGTCGTCGTCGTCGTCGTCGTCGTCGTCGTCGTTGCCGTCGTCGTCGTCGTCGTCGGTCGGTCGGTCGGTCGGTCGGTCGGTCGGTCGGTCGGTCGGTCGGTGGAGCGTGCCCAGGAGCCTCCCCGCCGCCTCCCACTGGGGCGCCCTGTAGAGCCCGCGTGTTCCCCTCCAGCTCCCCCTCCTGTGTGTTTCTGGCGAGGGCGAATGGGGGCATCAGTAGTTGGCCTTCGCGAGAGCTCTCGTCGCCACGGCCGGGCGCAGCTTGGATAATTTATACTTGTGGACCCAGTGAGATGGCCGAGGACCGATTTTGAGCTGCCGTTGTCTCAACTCGCTCTGCTCCGACATTTGTTTGTCCCAGGAGGTTCTCCTTACCGAGCCGCCAGCGAGTCAGGCGCCGCAGTGCAGTCAGAGAGCATGGCTGGAGTGAGGGAGAGGGAGGAGGAGGACAACGCCAGCGACTGCTCCGGCACCGCGAGTACGCGGCGCATCTCCCTTCCATCGGCCGCGTGGTGCGTTCTTGCGCGGGGCCTGCTCTCATGATGGCAGAAGCATGGCAGAAAACAGCAGGCCTGACCGACCTTTTGCCCCCCTGCCGATGTCTCGTAGCCACTTTTGGCTCGGGCTCAGGGCCCTCGGCCGAGCTCGCCTCCGGCGGGTTGCCCCCGCCGCGCAGGCGGCCCCCGCGCCGCGCTGCTGTGGCCCGCCGCCACCGCATTGTCCCCCTTTCCCCCCGCCTCCTCCCTTCCTCCTTTCCCCCCCCCCCCGCCCGCCCGTGCCGATGGCGCCCGGCGCGGGCGCGTCGGGACGCCGTCGCCGCGCCGGCGGTGGCTTCGCTGTCCTGCTTGGGGCGGGAGCGGCGGCGGCTGCTGCAGCTGCTGCGGCGACCGCGCTGGCCGCGCCCTCGCGATTGGGCCGCCTGGCTGGCAGCTGGGCAGCTGCCACGGCGGCGGGCGAGCGGGGGCTGGCGCCGAGGCCGCGCCCCGCGGCGCCCCGCGGCCAGGAGGAGGGCGCAGCTGGTGGGTCGTCACCCTGGGAAGAGGTGGTCTGGAATGCTGCGGAGGCGGTTGGGAACCTTCGTGCGACTGTTGCTGGAACCAGCGCCGACGACTTCGATTCCGGCCCCGGGGAGCCGGCGAGGACCCGGGAGGAGCTCGTCGAGCGCCTGCGGGCAGACTACGAGCGCGACTATTTCCTGACAGGGGACGTTGACGTGGAGCTTTACGACAGGAACTGCGAGTTCGCAGACCCGTTTGCGTCGTTCTTCGGTCGCGAACGTTTTGTGCAAAATCTACGGAATTTGGCTGGCGGCTTCATCGCAGCGTTTCGGGTGAAGATGATGGATTTCGACGAGGCCGGCGCCAGCTCAGTCGGCGGGCGCGTGGCCTACACCTCTCGGCTGCGGGTGCAGCTGGAGCTGGCGCTGCCGTGGCGGCCGGTGCTCGGCTGGGTGTGGGGGGTGACGCACGAGTTCGAGGCCAGCAACGAGGGCGAGCAAGCAGAGGCGTGGCGATGCGTGGTGCACCGCGAGAGCTGGGAGATCGACCCCGCGGAGGGCGTCGCCCAGATCTTCCGACCCAGCAACGGGCTCTCGATGAAGTGAGCTATGCGCAGTACCGTCGCACTCGTCCATCCCTCCCTCTCTCTCTCTTTCTCTCTCATCCTCCTCGCAAGTTCTCCCCCTTTGCTCCTCTGCTGTTGCGCGCCGCAGCGCTTCCAGCTCGTGGCGGTACTCCTTACCTCCGCTGTCGCGCAAGAGCTGAGCTGGTGGCCCGTGGCCTTTGGCTCAGGCCGGGCAGCCGCGGAGGAGCAACATGGGGGAGAGCAACAGGGGGAAGAAGGTTTGTTTGAGCAGATCTGGCACAATTCAACTCGACTACTCGAGTGATTCTTTGCAGGGGGGACCTTTGGTGCGGGCCCATCGGGGTCCCCCGATCTGTGCATGCGATGCGGCAGCAGCAGCTTGGAAGCTTGGGTGTGGCTCCCCCGCGCCACCCCTACAGAGGGGGGCCCATGCCAAGAAACACCCTGCTCGCCTCCAGGGTGCGGTGCCCTTGGTTTCTTGGGTTTCGATAGTTTTGCTTTGGAAAGCGTGACCCTCCCACACCAAGAATCGATGGACGTCTTGGGGTCTCAGGGTTGGGTTTCCTGTGGGAGGTTCTTACTGGTCGGATCCCCACTGTACAGCCGCGCACCACACTAAGGTCACTCCTGCCCAGGATCGCTCCTGCGCGTCGCCGATCAACCAGCAGTCCGAAGCCCCAGGACGATCCGGCCCGACGGAGAGGGGCGGCGTGCCCAAAAACCCGCGGAGGCACGCAGAGCCTGCAACGCCTCGCGGCCTTGGCCTCGCCGCCGTCGTTGGCCGCTGCCTGTTGGGGCCCGCCTCGTCGCATTCGGGCATCAGTCTGGGAACGAACGATGACACAAACATGACAACTCGGAGGTCCGCGCGGATTTCTCGGATCCGCGCTGGACCCGCCTGGCGGGGCCTCGGGCGCCGCCCCTGGCGCGCTCCGCGCGCCAGGGATGGGGGTCCAGCGCGGATCCAAGAAATTCGCGCGGACCTCCGAGTTGTCATGTTTAAGTCATTTTTCGTTCCCCTAATCAGGGCCGCAGTCGACCCCCGCGAATCGTCAGGGGCACGTCGACCCATGCGGCCCACAGCCCCGCGTGGCTACCAGGGGCTGCCGCGCCGAGCAATTCTTCTCACCCAGACCAGGAAGCCCATTGGCGGAGAGATGCGGCCGAAGGGCGAGCTCGTCGGAGCCGTGCTCCCAGTTCGCGGGAACCGCGGCCGCGCCGATGGCGAGCTGGGCAGTGGCGTGGCAGCGTTTGGCAGTTCCCTTCTGGGCAGAGCCCCGCTTCCGCGCGACCGACCGCAATCCCATCATCCTGAACATCAGTCGTCATGGGGGTCAGGCCCTGCGCGCGGCAGGTCTCGAAGGCCTGCCTCGCCATTCCCTCGGCCCTCGCATCCATCAGCGCGGCCCCCGCCCGCCCGGCCTGCACGAGACCCTTGTCGATATCCCGCTGCGTTTTGCCCGCGCCTCCACTTCCACTTCAGCCAACCCGCCTAGTAAGGACGGGAAACCTTCCAAAGGGTGCCCTTGCATCCTTGCCCCTTCGGGCCACCCTTGGCCACTGTCGCTGGCCGGCCGCGCCCAGCTCGAAAGTCCTTGAAATGGCCCTCCATGGCCCTTGCACCCTGATCGTGCGTTCTTGTGATACGGGTTGACTGCAACCCCGACCAGAGACTCCTCCACCACCCGTCCCCCACCCCCCTTCCTCGGCAGCGGCCACGGCCACGCGCCGCCCCGCCCCGAGAGCTGGTGGGCGGCAGCGAAGGCCTGGCGGCCTCAATGAGCTCTGGGTGCGCTCGGCAGTCCACGGAGGACAGCGCAGTGGCGGCGGCGGCGGGAAGCTTCTTGTGGGCCTCACGAAAGTTGTCGAGGGCTTGTTGGGGCCGTCTGGGGGCCTCCTGGGCGCACTCTGGGGGCCTCAGGGGGCTTCCTCGGGCCACCCTGCTTCCAGCCGCTCTCTGAACGACCGGGTCACGATGTGAAGTGCTTCGGCGGGCATCTTGGGGCCGTCTTGGGCCGTCATGGGGCTCTCTTCGGGCCATCTTCAGGCCCTGTTGGGCCGTCGTGGGGCTTCGTTGGACTGCCTGGAAGGCCTTTTGGGCAGTTTGACAAAGAATTCCTACCCAAATCATACAGAACACATTGGAAATCATATCTTTGTTCGTTTCGAGGGCCTCTTCGGGGTCTGTCTTCTTTGGGTCGTCTTCGGGTGTCTGGCCGGTGTCTGGGGCATCTTGGGTCCCACCGTGGGGGCCGTTCGGCCGCCCTCTGGACCGATTTGGGCCCGTTGCCTGGGCCCACCAGTGTCTTCGAGGAGCTCTAGGAAGCCTGGTGCGGGTGCGGGGGGGGTGCAGGCTCCCACCCCCAGGTGAGACATAGATAGAAAATGGAATACACATAGAATGGTGCCATGCTCGAGCGTTGTGGGCAGAACTTGGCAGGGCGGAGGGTGGGCCAGAGGAACCTGGGCATCTTGCTGCGCACGGAGCTCGACGCGGTCAGGTGGTCCAGCGAGGACTCGCGCAAGGCCGCCCGCCGGCGGGCCCTGTGCTTCTGGTGCTCTGGTGGCCTCCTCGGCCAACTCAGAGCCCCCCCCCTCCCCCCTTCCCCCTCCCATCAAAAATCGCGCGTGGTCCCCTGGGATCGGGGCGTGGCAAGGTTATGTGACACTCTTTGTCGCGGTGTCTGATCTCAGGGTCATCGATTGTCTTCGCAGTCTCAGCCTGGAGGCAATTCAGGGCCGAGCGTCTCACTGAATCCTCCTCTCCTCCTCTGGCAATATGGCGCGAATACGTCGTACGCTGCGCTCATCACTGCTGCTCAGCACTGCCGCAAAAAAGAGAAACGCCGTCCCCTCCCCAAAAAGACCGGTCTACGTCAGGGGTAACACCGTTTTGGGCAGGCACCCCCTTGGGGAGGCCCGAGTGCGATGCTTGCTGCACCGAGGTGGTCATGGGGCTCTGACAGGAGCCTCGCCGCCAACCCATCAAGAAGACGCGCTCTAGCTCAGTGGTTCCATTAGTCTGGGCTCGCGAACGGGCCCGTGACAACCTGGGTCGACACCCCCTTGGGACAAAGGCGCCGGAGGCCTGCTATTTTGAGCCACTGAGCTCTGGAAGCAGAGGTGTCGCCACCCCCAAGCACCAGGCATTCGTCCAGAGAGGCCCCAGCAATATGGGAGCGAGCGGGCCCGAGACGTCCCCCAGTCGACACCCCCTTGGGATGCCCGAGCGCGGTGCGTGCTGCATCGCGGCGGCCACGGGCCCCGGAAGGCGACACGTCGTCCCTCCCCCCGAGACATCCATGCGTGCTGTTTGCGACCGGGCTTGTGAGGCATCCGTGGTCGACACCCCGTGGGGAGGTCCGAGCGCGCTGCCCGATGCATCGTGTGTGGCCATCCTCAAAGCACGCGTTCTGCCCGAGAGGCTCCACCAACCTGGGTGCGAACTGGCCCGTGAACGCCTCTGGTCGACAGAACCGCAGGGAGCCCCGAGGGTGATGCCCACCCCACAAGCAGGTGCTCTCCCTGAGAGGTCCAGCAATACGGGCACGCACGACAATGAGACGCACCCCTTGTCGAAACCCTTCTTGGAGGCACCAGTGCAGAGACGCGACACTACCTTGCGGTAGTCTGAGCGATGAGCGAGTCCGAGCATTGTTGGGTTAAAATATGAATTGGTTTGAGCATGGGTGATTATGAGTATGAGCGTATGATTGGCTGGGCGTGCGCGGCTCTGAATGTGATATAGGTGAGTATGAGTCTTCGTAAGACTGAGCCAGTGGATTTGTATGATTGAGCTTGGGTGCGAGGGGTATACGTATGAGTGAGTGTGCGTGTGATTGTTTCTTGGTGTGAGTGAGTGTGGGTATGGGCGGGTCTGAGAATTAGAGTGTTGACGGAAAGGAGTGTATTACGTGTGAGCAGGTCCGGGGTGCGTGTGGTTGGAAGGAGAAAAGACGGGCAGTGTAGGACAAGGCGGAAGGAGAAAATTAAGAACCCTATGTTCAGGACATTGGGAGCGTGAAGTAATGTTGGCACTGGGTATGGATGTCTGATCACGCGAGCGCCTCTGAACGCGGGCGGGTGAAAGCCTGAGCATGAGTGGGTTTGACTACGGGCGGGTCTGAGCGTGAGTGTGCGCGCAAGGAAGGAGGGTGGAAAGGAGGGTGAGGTGGAGCCGCGATGGTCACACCAGAAGTGTGTTCGGGATCTGGGCGAGGAGAAAGGAGGAGGGAGGACGAGGAGGGGGAGGAGGCGGAGGACGAAGGACGGAGGAGGACGGAAGACGGAGGAGGACGAAGGACGGACGAGGACGGATGACGGAGGAGGTCGAAGGACGAAGGAGGAGGATGGAGGGAGGAAGAGGACGAAGGACGAAGGCGGAGGATGGATGGAGGAGGTCGAAGAGGAGGAGGAGGAGGAGGAGGAGGTCGAAGAGGAGGAGGAGGAGAAGGTCGAACAGGAGGAGGAGGAGGAGGAGGAGGAGGACGAGGCGACGAGCAGGTCGGGAGGCCGGCGAGGCCCGAGGGGCGCGGAGGCCGCGGTACGCCGGGCCTTCATCGAGATGGACGGGCTGCTGAAGCGCGAGCAGAACCCCGTCTACAGCCGCTGCGGCGGCTCCGCCGTGCTGCCTCCATCGAGCAGTGGCGAAGCGTCCTGGCAGGCCTGGAGTCGGCGGCGAGCGAGGGGGGGGAGTGCGAAGGAGAAGGCCTTCTCAGAAGGTTCGGAAGTCCCCAGCCTTTTGAGAAGTGTTCCCAGCCTTCCCGGACGTCAGACAAAACTTCTCAGAAGGCGCGAGGGCTGAGAAGCCCCGCCGCCTGCTGAGAAGGCCTTATCCTTCTCACTTGCCCCCTCGCTCGCCACCGACTCTGGTCTAGGCATCCCAGGTGGGGCCCGAGAAGATGGGGTCGACGGGTCGCTCCGCATCGCCGATGCTTCGACGATGCGGTTCCATGTGGAGTCAGAATTTCTCCACGCCGATTGCGCCGATGCCGGCGACGTCGCCTGTGCATCGCCCATGCATCGGTGATGCGGCGCGATCTTCCGACTCCATTTGCTCGTACCCCATCTAGACGGCCTCTATATAGGCCCACTAAAGAATGTTCTAAGAACCTTCTGTGGTCTGCACGAAAGGTACTTCGAGCATTACATTTTGGCTGAGTCCGTCTTCGTTTAAAACATCGGCTTTCTCCTCTAAGAACGTAAGCTTAGTGATCATATCGTTCTTGCGTTATAAAAAGCTTCCGCGGCACATAGGAATACCATGACGGTCGTTTCCTTCTCAGCTCCAGTAGCATCGTTAAGGGTGTATCGACTTCTGCCGTTCCTCGACTCGCGCTGGAACGGCCACGATTTGCCGTAGACCTTTGGACATATGTGATTTCGCTTGGATTTATTTTATTTATATCTGTATGTGTACAGGATTGAGGTCGATTCGGGGAGGGTGCTGTGTTTCAGCAGCCCGATTGCAGTACAGTCGGGAACTTTGGGATGTCGTGTCGCTCCGCCGGATTTGGCCAGCCGCGTTTCGGCGCGCCACGCAATCCACGTCCGCATCCCCAAACGCCCACGTCCCGAGCTCTCGTCTTGATTCTCTCCAGAGTATTGCCAGCACGGACCCTTTACAATAGGTTCTTGAATTCTTGATCAAGCTACCGTTGAGAACTTGAAATCGTCAATTCCACTGCTCGCGCAATTATCCCACCCTCTCACCCTCAACTTGTTTTGCACAACCCATGCGGCGGCGATTGCTGTGACTTCTTGGCTCTGGTTGGCGCATCTCTGCGGTCGCGCTGGCGCGCGCAAGCTAGCGCTCAGAGTGGCCACCTGGTTTGGCACAACCGTTGCACGATGGTGCTTGCCGTTGGCAACGCCCCCGCGCGTGTCAAAGGCCACGATTGCACGCGGGCACTTCAATGCAGGTCGATGATTCGGGTGGGCGCAGTATCATGATGACGTGGACACGAGGCCAACGATGATAATAGTAGCGAAGGTGACGGCGATGATGACGATGACGACGAAAAAGGCCAACACGGTGCCGATGCTGGTGACGACGATGACGGTGATGATGACCATGCGTCGATGAGGACCGTGTTTGAGAAATGACGGCGGCAACGGCGGCTATCGTCGATGACGACGGCTTGACGCGGAGGCGTTGATGAGGGCGGTGGCGCAGAAGTGCGCGCGTCGGAGATCTAAAAAGCCTGGCAGGCTTGCCGTTGACAAGCATGTGGTTGCCATGCGCTGCTGAACAGCTTCGGTTCGAAATGCGTCGGGGACAGATGGCTCTGGCAGATTTCTGGCGCGCGCGCGCGGTGCCCCGCGCGTGTGGCCGGCACGGTGCTATGAGGACCGACTGTGTACATTGGCGCATTTTGGATCAACGTGGATGCACCGCGTAATGAGATGAGAATGCGGGACCATTGGGAGGTCTCTACAGTGCCAGAGCGCGAAACGTTCCATATCCCTCCGCGCGCCCCGTAGGGGCAGCGGGAGACCATGGCAGGATCGTATGTAAAGACATACCGTCGTTACAACGCTACTAGACTGCTATTCGGCCGGGATCTCGGCCGGGCTGTCCATGCGTTGCCACGGCTCGGGCCAGAGTCGTCGAGGCCGATTCCCACAGCGGCTTCCAGGCCACCGGGAATGCTGGACTTGGTTTGGACGATCATGCGAACATCATATGTTCATCCCACGAGTTCAACAAATGCGCGTGGCCAGATAATCGTGTAGCCTCTGCGGTGGTACATTCAAACCGTGCTGGTGTTTTGTTGAAGCGCATGCAGCACGAGCGTGTTTCGTATGATGTCCGCGTGTGCGCGCATGTGGGTTTTGTGATATTTGTTGTTATGGACTTTCGGAAATATTTGTCGCTATATGCGAGCGTGCGCGCAAACTGGCAAGGATGAGGGGGGCGATGCCAGCTTGCTTTGGACGGTATGGATTCATATGGCAAGTAAGCAGTGCGGCAAAAACACATGTGGCTTGCAATGCTCCAGAAGGGTACCTATCATTCCAGGGGGGGTGGAGAGGGTGCTACAGTTTTTTCCAGGCGACGGATGAACCAAGTTTATAATGAGTTGTCAATTCCACTGCTCGCGCGATAACCCCCACACTCTCACCCGCAGCTTGGTTCGCAAAACCCTTGCGGCGGCCACTGCTTGGTGCATTTCCTTGGCCGCGCTGGAGCGCGCAAGCCCGTGCGCAGAGCGGCGGGCTGGTTTGGCACAGCCGACGCATGGCAGAGTCCAAGCGCGCGTCAAAGGCCGCGCTGGCGCGCGGTCATTTCAATGTGTCTCGGTGTTTCTGGCGGGCGCGGTGCCATGATGACACCGGCAACGGCGGCAACGATGATGATAGTAGCGAAAGTGTTGGCGATGATGACGATGACGACGGCTATGCGAATGACGGCCCAGATGTTCGTGATGACGGTCACGGTGATGCCGTCCATGTGTCGGTGATGCACGTTCTTGAGTGATGATGGTGGCAAGGGCGGCTATTGTCGATGGTGCGTGTTGAGATGAGAATGTGGGTGGTTGGCGTTCTACGTGGTTCAAACCTCCTTGCAGATTTTGAAGTCGTCAATGTCACTGTTCGCGCAGTCTCCCACGCGCAACTTGTTTTGCACAACCCATGCGGCCGTGAATGCTGTGACGCCTTGGCCCTGGTTGGCGCATCTTTGTGGCCGCGCTGGAGCGCGCAAGCTAGCGCGCAGAGTCCCCCTGGTTTGGCATAGTCGATGCGGCCGCGATGGCGCTCACCGTTGGCAGCGCCCCCGCGCGTGTCAAAGTCCGCGGTGGCGCGCGGGCGCTTCAATGCGGGTCGGTGACTTGCGCGGGCGCGGTACCATGATGACGTCGGCAACGGCGGCAACGATGATGATAGTAGCGAAGGTGTTGGCGATGATGGCGATGACGTCGGCAAGGCCAATGACCTTTCCCGGTGCTCGTGATGACGGTCACGGTGATGATGTCCATGCGGCGGCGACGAAGGTTTTTGAGTGATGACGGTTGCAGTTGCGTCGTTTGTCGACGCGCTCGGAAGTCCAACAAACCTAGCAAATTCTCGGTTGACGGACGTTTGTGTTTTCCCATATCGTTTGAAGACTTGTAGTTTGCAATGTTTCGCAAAGGGATGTTTTTGGAAGGATTTCGACACGTTCGCGTGGCGGCGCGCGCGCGAGGCCCTATTTGATACAGGTACGCGCACGCGGCCCATGTTGGATCAACGCGGATGTACCGCGTGGTTGGGTGAGAATATCGTTTGGTGGCGATACTGCTTAGGTCCTGTTATGGTTGTCTTGCGATCGTGCGGACCAGAAACGAAAACCATGGAAAACCTTTGGGCTGTTGATGCTGCATGGTTAAAACATGGGGGGATCTAGGGCCCCTTGTCTGGTTTCAATATGTGCGCGCGCGTGTGTTCATGCTGATCATTGGTCAGGGAATCGTGAAAATTTGTCAGGGAGTCGCCAAACATTTCATTTTCCGATCAACGCGTGTGCGGACATCGAAGAATGTGTCCAGGGTGAAGACGGACGGTACCGGCATGTCTGAGGTGGAATGAGTTCATATGAAATACGAACGATGGGGCATAATCGTGCGATTTAATGTTCGATGGGGGGTACCGACAAATACGGGTGGGGAGGGTGGTGGAGTTCATTTGTCGTTTTGAGGGAGTTTTCATGTTTGAAAAACCGGGGGTCCCCAACTCCAATGTTCGAGCAGATATCCCACCCACCCACCCGCAAATTGTGCATGCTCAACTGGCTGAGTGAAGCGGGAACCCTTGCGATGCGGATCCATGCCTCAGGCGGGCCAGTGATGATTGTGACGACGAGATTGGTGACCACGATGATGGTGGTGATGATGATGGTGGTGGTGATGGTGATGATGATGGTGATGGTAATGACGATGGTGATGATGATGATGATGATGATGATGATGATGATGATGGTGATGGTGATGGTGGTGGTGGTGGTGGTGGTGATGGTGATGGCGAGGGCGGCGACAACGACGATGACAATGGTGATGGCGACGGTGGTAATAATTCGACGGCGACATTGGTAATGGTGGTGAAGTTGATGGCGGTGATGGCCTTAACGATGGAGGTGATGACATTAGCGATGATGATGGCGATGGTGCTGATGAGTATGATGAGTGGTGCGCGCACGCACGAGTCTTACAGCCTTTTGTTATAAACATCGGGCTACATCTGTGTTTAAACACACGGAGTTCTGTTCACCGAGTGCGCGCGCACAGAAACCTGACTCGGTTGAACTAGTTGGAGTACGTGTGTTTGATTGATGCTGCAGGAAATCATGCGAACACCGATGGTGTTGAACAGATGTTCACATGTGCGCGGGCTTGGCCCGCATGATGTGATTGAAAGCAGGTCCAATCGAAATGCACATAAGAGATCAAATCGCGTGCTCCGCATAGGAACATGAGGCAGGGTTGGGTGGTGGCGTGGGGGGCGGGGGCAGTACAGGGGCCTGCTGCTGGCTGGGATGGCAAGAACGAGAACAGCGCGGCAGTCAAAGACGTCACGAATCACCAGCCTCTGAGCACCTCACCTCGAGCACCAGGGCAAGAACGCAGAAGCCGCAACTATCAGTTGCATGGTGGGGGGTAACACATAAGGGCACCAGGGCAAGATCGAGGACATCGCAGCCATCGAGGGAATCACAGGGCACCACCCTGAAGAGAAATCCACATACAGCACCAGGTCAAGAACGCGGATGCCGCGACGATCACAAGCATCGCAGCACACCCGCCACAGAGCACCACCCATAGAGCACCAGTGCAAGAATGCGGAAATTGAAACCAGAACTTCCATATCATTGTTCAAGCACGCAGATGCCGTCAGTGCAAACACTCCTCGAGAATACTGCGGTCAAAATGCACATGTGGAAAAGTTGGGGGCGGTGGCGATGTTTGTCGAGGTCGGCCTAGAACTTTTGGAGATTCGTCAAGCTCGCGCCGTGGGGAATGGACTTCCAAGTTTTGGCTTCCTCTTGTCAGTTCTGCGACCGGGACCGCGACAAACGACTCAGGGTTGAAAACCCGTCTTGGGGAGGGGCTCGAGAGTTCTACGGAGGTTGCTCCCCCCTACTCTCCAGGCATCCGGCGTCACGAAAGAATCGTACGGCCGGCATTTCGTCGGTCTGCCCTCATGGCGGCCTGCCGTGGACACAGGACAGGCCAAGAGCGATCTAGAATGGAACGCGGGTCCCGGGGAAGGATCGAGAGCTCTACGGGGATTGATCCATTTCCTCCCCTGGCATCCGGCGTCACGGAAGAATATTGACAGCCAGAAGGTCTTCGGTTTGTTCTTCTGACGGCCTGTTTTGGACAGGAGAGTCCAAGAGCTAGGCCTCCCAGATGGGGTCCGAGTAGATGGGGTCCGAGGATCGCGCCGCATAGCTGATGCATCGACGATGCGGCTCGATGCGGCGTCTTATTTTCTCCACGCCGACGTCGCCAGTGAGGGGTCGAGAGTTCCCCCACGTCGCGAAGACAGCGTGACGTCGGAGGGCCCTGTCTTCTCGCTGATTCATGGCACTGGCGGTAGCCCGACGTACACCCATCAGGAATCTTATGAAAAAGCGTCGACGCTCGTGGACCCCAGATCCCGCTCAAGAAAATCAAGAATCTGGACTGGACCTTGGGCGTTTCTTGGAGCCTTTTTTCTTCGTAGAACTTTTGTTTTTCTAAGAAAACGCTCCGAGTGAGGTCCATGTTCTTAGCGTCGGATTTTCTTTGAGGCAGGAGGGGAGGGGACAGGGGGAGGGGAAGCGAGGAGGGAGGAAGGAGAGGGAGGGAGGAGGGTGGGGGGAGGCGCAGGAGCGGGAGGAGGCACCCCTCCCGTCGCCCCTCCCCCTCTTCTCGCCCGCAAGTGGTGCACCCCCCTTCTCTTCCTCCTCCTCCTCCTCCTCCTCCCTCCCTCCCTCCCTCCCTCCTCCTCCTCCTCCTCCTCCTCCTCCTCCTCCTCCTCCTCCTCCTCCTCCTCTTTCTCCTCCCCCTCCTCTCCCCGCCTCCCTCCCCCCCGGGTACACCTCGTGCCCTGTCGAGGCTGCACGTGCGTGGTCGCCGCAGTGTGGCGCGGGGAGGACGGCTCGGCCGGCACGTCGGAGGGAAGGGCGGCAGCAGCGGCAGGAGGGAAGGTCGGGGGCGGCCAAGAGGGGGGTGGTGACTAGGGGGGGGGGATATCATGGCGTGGGCCATGATATTTCCTCAGAGTTCATGGCGCCTCTTCTTATTTCATTACGTCCCTGACCCCCCCTGGGCCGCGCACATGCCGCCGGCCATGATTTGCGCCCCCCCCCCCTTTTGGACGCCCCCCTCTTTGGCCGCCCCCGAGAAGGGGGGGGCAGCAGCAGCAGCAGCAGCAGCAGCAGTATGGTTTCTGCATTCTGATGCCGAATTGGTTGGATCGCCAGTCACAAGACGGAGGATCAGGAGGAGGAGGAGGCGGAGGTGGAGGATGAGGAGGAGGAGGAGGAGGAGGAGGAGGAGGAGCAGACGGAGGAGGAGGAGGAGCAGCAGACGGAGGAGGAGGAGGAGGAGGAGGAGGAGGAGGAGGAGGAGGAGAGGGACGAGGACTCTCTTGGTTCCTTCTTACTCCATGAGCACCCCTCTTCTCTCCTCCACTCGGCGTCCTCTCCTGCCAGAGGATATGTCTGTATATGTTTATGTGTGTATGTATGTGTATAGATGTGTGTACATCAGAGTAGGCCGCAGCCGGGCCCATGACCGCGGCCACGGGTACACATGGCCGCTTCGGGTGCCCCAGGGGCGCCCCAAAGTGGCCCCCCAAAGAGGCGCCGTGGGCGCCCCGAGGGGCCAGAATGGCTATAAAAGTTCACCCGACCAGTCCAACACAGCCCGAGACCGCCGCGGAAAGTTTTTGGACGACATGCGAAAGCTTCCAGGCTGCGCCAGGACGGTCCCAGGCAAGCTCCAGTGGGCGCCCGAGGCCCCGGACGAGTACCCCGAGGGGCACAACTCTGTGATGCCCCTTGTGGTTTTCAACGTGTTAGGGGTCCTCTACTTTTTCGAGTTCTGGACAATCCACGACGGCCCAAGAGGCCTCCAGCACCGCTTCAGTATGGGCCAAGAGGCCCCCAGGAGGGCCCCGGGTTCGGCCCAACAGGGCTCCATGACGGCCCCAGGGACGCCCAAGACGGTTTCAGAGAGACGGCTCCAAGATGGGCTCAAAAGGGGAGCATGAACCGAAACTTCGAATCTTTCGCCCCGAAAGGCTCCCTGGAGGCTTCAAGAAGGCGCCAGGACGGTCCCAGGCAGGCTCCTGTTAGCGCCTGAGGCCCAAAACGAGTGCTCTGAGAGGCGAAAAGATGTGATTTCTGTAGGGTCGTTCTATGTGTAGGGGGATCCTCTTCTTTTCGAGTTTCGGAATATCTACGACGGCCCAAAAGGCCTCCAACACCGCCTCAGGACGGGCATCCGTAAGAATTTTGGTTCAAGCCATTTTGGGACAAGTTTTTGAGCAGGGCCCTGCACTGCAGCACTTTCTACCATTGCCAAATGCGCTCGGGTCTGGACCTGCGGTGGAGTGCTGCACGCGCCAGAACGAATGGATCGGGGCAGAAGTGTGCATTTTATGGTACACGCTGAAGTTTCAAAATGTGGACGAAGAGATGGGCTACGTAAAGCATTACGCGCCCCGCTTGAGCAGAAACTTGTTCACCGCTATCTGTCTTCAGATTGTTGTGATCGTCGTGTGGCTGACATATAGTATCAGTTTCCTTGTGAATAACCGTATAATTCATTCGCACTGGAGTGTTGTGGGAAAGGCCTGGCTCGTGCTTATTCTGCTTGCGGACTTCTGCTAAGGTGTTGTGTGCTCGGTACCGGGGTTCTGGAAATACATGGGAAGTGCGGCCCGGGAGTTGTTATGTGTGGTCATGCGCATCATTGTCATCGTGTTCGTTGTATGCACAGGGGATGTCTACCTTGCCCAGCTCGCCAGAATCACCCTCGATGGTGCTCAATGCGAAAGGGTGATGGACAACCATACCCACATGATGTTTACTCGCGTGGCGTCCACTGCCTCCCATTGAATGGTTCCAACGCGATAGCGCAGGTTAATTATACTTGAGATGGTTTCCTCTGTGTGGCTTCCTTTCTGGGTCGCCCTCACATTTTCCGGGGATGTCAGATCCTTTGGCATGAGTACCTATCGCATTTTGTTTGTCCACATCGTCCAGTGCATCGTTGTCGCATTTTTTTGCGATGAGAAAGCGCCGCGCTGAATGCTCAGAGCGCTATCTTTTCAGGAAATACCTTTCAGAGAAATCTCCTCGCGTGAGCACGGAGTTCCAATTGTCTTCTCAACGGGTGGAAACAACAGATCCATCAGAGATCTCGAGCGGGGTTGTTTTCGCAGGTCTTGGCTTGAACGGAGAACTCAAGCGGAATGTCGATGGCATCGCAGCCTTGGGCCGGAAAGAGCGCTGGGTCTTTGAAGCAGGCACCGCGATCGACGAGGACAAGGTCATTGGCCAGGGCGGTTTCGGCAAGGTCTGCCTGGCGCACTTACATGGTGCTCCCATTGTCGCAAAGATGCCCTTGGCGCCCATGCATGAATGGGTGGGCATCCGACCTTCGCGCCTCGAAGCGCCGGCATGCGAAATTCGTTTGCTTAGTCGATTGCGCCACCCGAACATGCTTTATTCCCTGGTGCAGTTTTCTTCGACCGCAATAATTCTTGCGGCCTAATGCTGGAACGCTCAGATGGGGTTACGCTTCGCGCGTTCAAGACCAGTCTTTCCAAATTGTGCTGTCTCAGGATTTGCGTGGACCTCGGCCGAGCCCCGCAGTATCTGCGCGCCCAGGATCCGCCCATTGTCCACGGCGACTTGGAACCAAGCAACAGAATGATCCCCCAGGACTCCTGGAAAAACCGACGGGCAAACTCATGGATTTCGGCTGTACCCGGCCGATCACTCCGACGGCGTTGCCCGATGGCGGCGCGAAGGAGTGGACCCCTCCAGAGCAGATGCTGAATCAAAGGGCACAGCCCGCACGTCAGCTGGACATCTTCGCCTTCGGTTCGGTAGCGTACTTCATGGAACACGGCGCGTCACCAATGCGAGCCATATCGCGTGATAGCGATGCGTTGCCAGTTCCCAGGGGCGCACTGAATCGGCAGATTTCAAGGCGGGCTTTCCTGTCAGATCGAGTTCGCGACGCAGTGCAGTTCTGTCTCGCCGTGAGCCCTTCCATGCTACCCGAATCAATCGATCATGCGCGACAGTCGCTCGAAGACGCTCTTCCTGACGCGCCAGCAGACGCTGCCTTGGAATGCGCCCGCTGTTCTGCATCAGCCTCCAGTGAAGTTACTTCCCCAGCTTCGCGAGGCGCTGCTTTCTCTCTTTCGTCAACTTCGCATCAGCAGAAGCCGAATGACCAGAGCATAGGCGTTGAAGCATGAGCACGCTGCAGCGCAGCCGTCGCTAGATGGCGCGCGTCTGATTACGTCTGGCTCGACGCGATGCCCCACCCGCCGCCTCCTCGAGGACAGCTGAGTTCAGCCTGCCATCCGCCGCGGCGGTGTAGAAGCAGCCGCTCGTGTTTTCTCGCTTGCATTTCCTCTGTCGCCCCCCCTTGTCGTCCGCCCATCGCCATGTATCCCGCTTGGCCTCGCCCCCCGCCCTCGCTCGTCGCGCGACCCTCCCGCCCCCCCTTCGCGCGCCCGCCCCGCCTCCTTTCAGCGCCGCGAGATATTTATGCACATCTTCCTTTGCGCCAAGCGCGGTAGCTCCACGACGGCCCCAGGGGCGCCCAAGACGGCCTCAGGGAGACGGCCCCAAGATGGGCTCAAGAGGGGGACCACGAACCGAATCGCCGAACCCTCCGCCCCAAGAGGCACCCAGGAGGCCCCAAGAAAGCCACGAGGAACTGCCGCGAGGCCCCAAGAGGGCCCAGAAAAGGCCCCACGACGCCCCAAAAGGCACCAGAACGGCCCCCAAGATGCCAAACGTCGGCTCCCAAGAGGCGCCCGCGAGGCCTCCTTTGACGCCCTTCCTAAAAGTCCCATGGCTTTTGATCCACTACACAGGCGCGGTTGCGAGATGGGCCGAAGGCCGCTCCAGTCTCTTTCGCACACCTTGCGGCGCTGCTTCTCACATTCCTTGCCGTTGCATTCCCAGCTCATGCAGTTGTTGTGCTCTTGCCTTACGCCTCCCCCATCTCACTTTCAAGCTTCGCCACCATCTCAAGATTTCGAACGGCCCCATATGGCTGCCCCTCGGGCTTTGCAGCCCCGCGCGGGGCACCCTGGAACCTCCGCGACGACTCCAGCACGGCCCACGCCAGCATGTTCCCAGGGAGCCATCCAGGAACACGATTGCCGCCGCCAGTCCGACGAGGAAACCGAAGGGAGCAGGAGCGACCGCGCCAGTCCGCCTGATATTCCAAGGACACGTTTACAGCGGGACCGGGCTTGGGCCCGCGGCCTTGGTCCGAGTGGACTCGGTGTCGAGGGCGCTGCTTGAAAGTGCCGCTCTCCTCTGCGAGGCACCCGAGAAGCACGCTGAGGCCCCATCATGTACGCGAGGGAGGGGGGGGAGGAGGACCAGTGCAAACCCAAGACCCATCAGCGATGTTGGAGCACACCGTCCCTCCAATATACATTTTCATTCACCGGCCCCTACGAGGGGTCGCCCCCGCTGGGGGAAATGCCCCGCTTGGGGACAACCATGTGGACATTTAAAAGCGTGCCAGAAAGTCACTGTCAGGATTTCAGCGCCAAGAGTTACCTGACTGCTACGTCTTCGCGATCCGGAACCGCGCCAGAACACCGTTCCGGGGGCCACAGCACCCCGAATCAACGTAACCTGGTGCGCCGTGACATGTCCGGAATCGTTCCAGAAAGCCGTTCCTGGTGCGTTAAACAATGAGAAACCGCGAATACTTTGCACGCGTTCAAGACGAAGGTGCGCGGCGTCATGACGAGGGACACAATCCGAAAGACAACCGCCCACAACATATTATGCTTTTGCGAAGTTAAAAAACGAATGCGTGCGGCGCGAAGGCGAAAGCCTCGTATTGAAAACGACCCAATGTCGATCCGTGAATATCTTGCACACGTTGAACACGAGTGCGCCGCTGCGACGACTGCCGCAGTTTGAAAACGAACCGGCCTCAATTTGTTAAACTCCTGCGAACGTTTGAAACGAATGCGCGCGTCAATGGAGGAGGAGGAAGGACGAAAACGAGGACGAGGAGGAAAAGGAGGAGGAGGAGGAGGACCCAAACCGGGCCAGGACACCCAACCGGCTTTCTTCCCCTGTCGGCCCACATATTTGACCCCTTCCGGAATCTCCCAGGCCCCCCCCCCGCCGTTCAAACAGTTCCGGAAGCTGCCAAACAGCGACCAAAATGGCCTGACAGGGCCGAAGACGCCCGAGTAAGACTGTCCAAAAGGCCCCGAAGTCGTGCTAAGAAGGCTCCAAGATGCGCCCTAGAGGGCCCAGGAAGCCAACATTGCTTCGTCCCATAAGCAAGCAACTTGCTCGGCGACGGACCCGTCCTTGTGCAGTCATGTGTAGCGCAGAGCGCGGGTCTCTCTTCATACACTGCGCGCCGCGTGGCAATGCGGAAGGATGGTTGCAGCGGAGCGCGTGTGCACGGGTGCGCTAATTCTCCGTGGGGCACGATCCGCGTGAAGGGTGTGCCGAGCAATTCGGATGCCCCCGCGCGAACGCGCCCACGGATGCCGCAGGTGGACCTCCTCCAGCCGCGCTGTGTGCGAGGCATGTTCCGGAATGGGCAGGGGGACGCCATGCGAAGCTGCCCAGTGGTGCCATACGTGGAGCTCTCTCTGGGGCCTCTGGGGCATGATTCGCGTGACGGGTGGGCCGACATGGGCGGGGAGGGCGCTGTACAAACCTTGTCTTTGGGCCTACGTGGTGTTCTTTGTGGGAACGATCCGCGTGATGGGCCAATGATGGGGTGTGCCGCAACGGCCATTGGGGCCGTAGGTGGAGATTCTTGTGTGCCACGATCCGTGTAAGAGGTGTGCCGAAATAGACGGGGGGGCCGGATGCGAATTTTGTCTCTGGGGCCGTCCGTGGAACTTGTTGCGGGCCACGGTCCGTGTGAGAGGTGTTCCGATGTGGGCTGGGCGACTCTACGCAGCGCCTCCCTTGCGCGACAATTGCAGTTACTTGCGGGGCAGGATCCGTCTGAGGCGCGTGCCATTATGTGAGCCTTGCCCCTGGGGACGTAGGTGGAGTTCCCTGTGGGGCGCGATCGCTGTGAGGGGTGTGCCGACGTGGGCGGGGAGATGCTAAGCCCTGCTTGTCTCTGGGGCCGCAGGTGCAGCTCCTTGGAGGGCACGACGCGTGTGACAATGTATGTCCTCCAGTGCCGAATACTTAAGATTCAACTAGAGAATGCTAGAACCTTAGCGCGCGCGAAGCGCGCGCGCGTAGGTCTATTGAGTGTATGTATGTATGTATGTATGTATGTATGTGTATGTGTGTATGTGTGTATGTGTGTATGTGTGTATGTGTGTATGTGTGTATGTGTGTATGTGTGTCTGTCTGCCTGTCTGTATGAATGCATGCATGTATGTGTATGTATGTGTGTATGTGTGTATGTGTATGTGCATGTGCATGTGTATGTGTGTATGTGTGTATGTGTGTATGTGTGTATGTGTGTATGTGTGTATGTGTGTATGTGTGTATGTGTATGTGTATGTGTATGTGTATGTGTATGTGTATGTGTATGTGTATGTGTATGTGTATGTGTATATATATGTATATACGTGTGTGCGCAAAGGCTTCTGAATTCACGGGGCCGGGGAGGGTGGGGAATCCAGGGTCCCGCTGCTGCGGGGTCTTCCTTGTTGCATGCCGCGACTGCACGTCGTTTCCTCGCAACCGCCCCGAAAAAGCGAGCTGGCCCAGGGGACCAGGCACCCCTCCGGAAGCATGTCGTGCGGGCTGCAGGCGTCGTGTGGCGTGGTTCTGCGGACACCGCCTCCAGGCTACAGTTGAGGCCCGTGCCAAGAAACATCTTGCTTGCCTCCAGGGTGCCCTGGGTTTCTTAGGTTTCCATTGTCTTGACATGGGAAGCGTGACGCTCCCACACCAAAAATCAATGCACATCCTGGGGTCCCAGGGTTGGGCTTCTTGTGGAAGGTTTCTTATGGTCGGGCCTTCGCTGTACTCACACCCTGTGCAGCCGAGAGCCGATGTGGTGGCGATGTGGAGGCTCTGTGGAGGAGAGGAGTGGTGTGGCCGGCGGAGGGGGCGCGCGGAAGCTTCTCGGGCATTGGTCTTTGACACCTCTCGGCGGCCAGCCCGGGGGGAAGCGAGGAGGGGCGGGCCTTCTCAGAAGGCTCGGGAGTTCCCTGGCGAGCAGTCGGGGGTTCGTGGACGGGGGGGTGTCCCAAGGTGGGGTTAGGGAACGAGCCCCGCTGGATGCTCACATTTCCTTCTTCCAGGGGCCGTTTGGAGCGGATTTCCCTCTAGGCACACATTTGTCCAACACCACCTGTGCGTCCCGCCGACCGAGAGGGGTGATGTGGCTGGCGGCGGGGCGCGCGGATCGGCGGCGAGCGACGGGGGCAAGTGAGAAGGAGAAGGCCTTCTCAGAATGCGGCGGGGCTTCTCAGAAACCCTCCGGCCGTCTGAGAAGTTTCCTGCATCTTCGGCGAAGGGTTGGCTTACTTCTCAGAAGTCCGGGGCACTTACGATTGCTCTGAGCAGGCCCGCCCATGCGAATTTCCCTGTCGGGCTCGCCGCCGACCGGAAGACCAGGTTGTGGCACGTCATATGTGGTCAGTCTGCCCGCCCCAAGGACGCCAACGCGTACCAAGTCTTGCTGGCAAACTTGGGCGATTCGTTCGGCGGGATTGTTGCTTTCTTTGTTGCACTTCTCTCGCAGCACTGGGGCATTCTCCTCGAGACCCGATGCATCTAGACGCCTCCGCGGAGCTTCCGTGGCAATTCGCATGAAAAACATCTCCCATGATTGGCATTCAGAATTGAGGTCTCCAGGGGAACGGAAAGGAGGACGACGACGAGGACACACAAGCGCCCCAGTCAGTTGCGGGAACCTGCCTGGGAACTGCTGTCTAACGGGCAACGCCAGAGTACGAATCGACGCCAGAAGTGTCATCAACCCTATTGTTTGCGTTCACCTCCCGTCTCCATTCTCCCCGCCTCCTCCGTCCTCGATCCGTCCTCGCTCCTGACTGTCGCTCTTCTCCCTCTTTCTGCGTTCCTCCTCGACCGCGGGGAGAAAGGGTCTCTTTGCCAAGACAGGCCCACACCAGAAGTACACCTTCCTCTTCTCTCTTTCCATCTGTCCTCTCTCCTCCCTCCCTCCCTCCCCCCCTCCTCCTCCTCACAGGCCGCTGGTGCTCACCTGGTGCTCGCAGACACTGCGCTAGTGCTCGCAGGCCACTGTGGTGCTCAGAGGCACCCGCGCTGGTGCTCGCAGGCATAGTGTGGCGTAGCGACCACACCGACACGATCAGCAAACGTAGTAGTGTGTAGTGTGGTGCTCGCAGGCGCACGGGCGCATTGCTCGCGCTCGCAGACACAGTGTCACGTTTGGGCGCTACTGTGAGATACACAGGGTCCAGCGTATTGCTATGCTCACGCACGCAGGTTGCATAAAAGCATGATTATGTGGAGTTGCCCAAAGCAAAATCTTCGTCGTCGTTCGCTTCTTGCCCGCACGGTCAGGAAATAGCATCCCTAACGCGCCCTGGGGTAAGATGCTGAGCGCTCACGCGCGTTCTATGACCCATGCGGTCGTGGTGCACGTTGGCAGGGTGCCTTGAAATCTTCGTCGTCCGCGTCGTGTCCGCATAGGGGGGAAGGATAACGCACCCCGGCGCGCCTGGGGTGCGTCGCGCTATCCCCCCGCTATCACGCGGGCGATCCCCAGAAATTGAAAAAACAAATCCCCCTTGGGGTCGTCCCTCCTACCGTCAGTGAGATCCGACGGTGCGAAAGGGTTGCAGCATCGCGTAAAGACCGCAGCCGCAGACCCCGTCCCTCTGGAGGGCCTTTTCAAACCAGATCGATCCGTGATTCACCGAGCGCGTTCCACTGACTACTGGCAACGTTGCCTGCTCGTAAAAGGTCCTGAAGACAAACGTCTGCCCCGACGCAATGGAGCGCAGATCCCCCTCGGCGGATCCAGGCCGTTTGCGAGCAGTTCGCTTGCGAGTCGTGGAGCGCGCTTGCCCAGTGAAGGCCCCAGGGCCCCCATTGGTGAAAGCAGGGCGCAGCCAGGAGCTCGGCGCCCCCTCGCCGTTCGCCACGGTTTTTTTCCTGCCACGACGTGGACCCGCGGAGGCAGCGGCCCAGTCCAGGATCTTCCCACGGCCTCTCGAGAGCATCCCATTGGGGCGCCTCTTGACCAGGATCCGGCGAGACGGACCCCCAGACCTCCTCCGACCAGGATCGCGCGAGTCGGCCCGCCCCCAGACCTCCTCCTCGGGCGCCTCCTGACCGGGATCCGCATGCGATCCAGCCGTGGCGGCGAGAAGGCCCCCCTCCCGGAGGGCTCAAAAAGCGATTGCGTCACGACATGTTTGGTGTCTGGGGTTCAGTCGGGCATGCCCCTCTACAGGAAGAGTATCCAAACATAGTTTTAGAAATCAGAAAATCAGGGGACGATGTGTTGACTGTTTCATGACTACTGTCGATAATTTGGTTGGCTGCTTTGAATGTGTCGTCCAAAACCCGCCTGTGGGAGGACATGCCCGACCTAAGTCTGGGGTCGTCCCTGGCCCCGCGGGCCCGGCGGCGTACAGCAGGCACGCCGCCGCGTCCGCGCGGTCGTCGTGAGTTGTTCCTTGCGACGCTATGCGGCCTGGGGAGGTGGAGGAGGAGGAGGAGGAGGAGGAGGGAGGGAGGAAGGAGGAGGAAGGAGGAACGAGGGAGGAGGAGGGAGGGAGGAGGAGGGAGGGAGTAGAAGGGAGGGAGGAGGTAGAAGGAAAGATGCAGGAGGAGGGAGGAGGAGGGAGGAGGGAGGGAGCAGGGAGGACGAGGGAGGAGGAGGCAGGAGGACAGCAGCAACGAAACCGTCCGGCGTGTCTGTCTCACGGCGCGAGCGGGTCCAGGGTCGCCCTGAGCTCTCCCGCCGGGAGGCCTGCTCTACCGGGCCGAGGCAGACGTCCTCGTCGAGACGGTGGCGCACAAGCCCGACCAGCCGTGCGAGAAGAAACGCATCCGCGCGGCCACTGGGGGGGGGGGGGCGTCGACGAACGTCGGAGGGGGGCCTCGCGTCGTCGTGCCGGCCTTCTGCTTCTTTAGAGGCCTCCCCGCTGGTGTCGGAACACATGGAGTCGGAGGATCGCGCCGCATCGATCGCCCATACATCGGGGATGCATCGGCGATGCATCGGTGATGCACCTGCGATGCATCGCCGACGTCGGCGATGCATCTGCGACGTTGACGTGAAGCGAATCGGGCCCCTCAGCGAGCCGCATCGGCGATGCATCGGAGATGTCGCGCGACCCTCGGAGGGTCACCCTCCGACCCCGCGTGCTCCGACCCCGCCCAGGATGCCCCGCTTCTCCATCGGGAAGGCCCGCACCTCGGCGGGACACGCACGTCGGGAGGGGCCGCACATCGGAGAGGGAGCCGACGTGCCGGCGGCCCGAGCAGCCGGGCGAGAGAGAGGGAGCGCAGGCGCGCGGCCACAAGGGGGGGGGTCCTCACCTCCTCCTCCTCCTCCTCCTCCTCCTCCTCCTCCTCCTTCTCCTCCTCTCCTTCCTCCTCCTCCTCCTTCTCCTCCGTAGCCATTTTGGCTCAAGTGGTTTCCACTAGATCGGGCAGCCCCATTCAGCGGGCCATCCTGGGTGTCGAGCTCAGGCGGGCACTCTCGTACTGTTTTTCCTCCATCCTTTCGTTCTAGAGCTTTCCCGAGAGCATCATGTTTGGGGCCGCCGATGCTCCAGTCACCATGGCCGCTGTGAGGGCGTTGCTGGGCGATTTCATGTCGACACTGGACGCCAGGATCAAGGAGGCTGTCGCCCCCTTATCACCACAAACATGAACACCAACAACGCGGAGCTGGTTTGGCAGATCAATCTCGCCCGAGCTGAACTGAAGGAGCCCGACGCCAGGACCAAAGTGCTCGAGGCCAGCGATCACAGTTCCGGCCTTCCATCGAACACATAATTCTCATCAGACCGTTCGAAATCAAGAAGAGTCGGGAGCTCATCGGCCTCAGCTTCCACCGCTGCCCCGACGGATGCGAGGAAGGTCTGGATCGGCACTTGGCCCCGCCCCGTAGTAGACAAAGTCAGGCGAGCACATTTCGAGCAGGTGAAAGCGAGTTTCCCTATTGCCGCCAATGCTGAGGGTGAATTTCATAGAGTTCCCCACTCGTACGTCATCATTTTCCAGACCGCAGGTCAGGCCAAGGAGTTTCGCATCCAGACGGCGGCCACATCCATGCAGTTGGTTGACCCGCGCAACCAGAGGCAGTACACGCTCCGCGCCAGGGGCGACTTGCCCGAAGATGTGAGGGACAAGCAGCGTGCCTTTTCGAAGTTTTACATTCCGATCCGCGACCTATGTCAGAAGTGTACGACTTGGTCACCAAACTGCCGAGTCGGCGTCAACGGCTTCAAGGGCAGTCTCTTCGTGACCAACGGGGAGGACATTTGGACGCCTATCACGATCATGCAGATCTCCATGGACAGGTTCAATTTCGTGCCCGTTGGCGACGAGCTCTCCGACTGGGGCATCACGGCGCCGCAGGTTGAGGATATCATCGCGGCCGCCCACTAGGAGGCTCCTCTTCGGCAGACCCGTCGCGTGGCAGGCGGGGGTGAGCCTGCTCAGGACGACGATCGACCGCAGGAGGAAGTCATTGATATATTTCTCCCTAGCAGCGTTTTCAGTATCTGTTCTAGGAACTGTCAGACCCTCTTCTACTCCATCCACTCCCCGGTCTCGCGTAGCTAGCCGACGCTCGTCATCGCGAGGCGCTTCATAGGCAAGCACCCCAGCGTTTGCTAGCAGGAGGTTCACGGCTGTCCAGGAGATTTGCCCGCGCTTCGAAGAGAACTTCCCGATGTTGAGGTCTTCGGGTCGTTTGACACTTCCGAGTGCGCCGGCGGCATCGTCGCGCTCGTTCAGTCCAAGCTGTTCGCCGAGTACAGCGCCTCCTCCTTTTCTGAAGTTGCCCGGGGCAGAGTTTCAGCGCTGCCCCTGTGGGGGCCGCGGGGGCGACTTCAGGTCGCCAACGTTCATGTAGCGCCTGACTCTGGCGTGTCGCGCACCAAGGCTGTCCCCGTCTCGCTTCGCACGTTCCTGGCCACCGCTCGGTTCGCCTCTACCTTCCTCGCAGAGGACTTCAACTTCTCGGTGCCTGGGGAAAGCAGATTTGTGGTTGGGACTGGGGAAACTCTCGCATCGTTCTCGCGTATCGCCAAGCACTTCGATGCCATCTTTCCGTCCTTCCTCGAGATCGACTAGCCGCATTACACTCGCCGTTCGAACGTTAGATCTGCTCCGAGCTTCGCCCGACTCGATCGCATCCTCACCAACTTCCCGACCCCGATCGCTCTGGACTTCAACCCGATCTCTACCACCGGCATCGACATCACCGATCGGAGCCGTCCTTCGGAACATGTTCCTGTTCATCTCGTCCTTCGTCCCTTTCATTGACCAGTCAGTCTTCAAAGTGATCATGATGATGAATGTGCCAATCCTCTTCCTCCCATCCCGAGCTGGATTTCCAAGCGCCCGCAATGTCGCGTCGTTTTTCGACTCGTTGGTGGAGGCCAATGAGACCAGCCACCACCCGCCGACTGCCGTCCGCGAGGTGAAGGACCTCATGCACGCAGCGGCCCGAGAGGTTCGCCACTTTGTCGAGGAGCACGGGCCCCGATGTAACCCACCCCCAGCTGCCCTTTGCCTGGAGCTTCTGAGGGCTCACCGTGGGGAACACAAGCGAGGCGCTCTCAAGGCCGCCGCTGGGTCCGAGGAGTTCAAGCAGTTTTACGACACGGACAATATGGTCTGATCCGGCTTCCCAGGGTTCCTGAAACATTTTCGTCGAATCATGCTTCAGGAGTTCGCCCATGAGGAAAACGCCATCCGTCAGGACTTGGACCTCACGGGTGCCCAGAAGGATTCTCGCTCGGCTCGGCCCAGGAGGATGTCTGCTGCGTGGGCGAGGACTCGCTCCAAGATTGTCTTAGCCTTGGTCGTGGAGCCAGGCGGCCAGCGCACCGCCGAGCCAGATAAGATGGCCCAGGCGCTCGCGGGGCACTGGGGGAGGGGGGGGGGCGGCGGCGGTTTTCACAGCCGCGCCGCACCCAGCTGCCCACCTGTCTCCTCTGCTCGAAGGGTTCTCGCCATTAACTTGCACCGAGGACCAGTTCGCCAGCTCGACTCACGCCCGTCATGATTGGATTTTTGTCCAAGGAGGCGTTCTGCCCCCTTCATCCCCCGCAAAAAAGACTCGGCTCCTGGGCCCGATGGCATCAGCTATTCTGGTCGAAGGGCGTTTGGCGATTTGGGTTGCGACGTCCTCTACTCGCTCTACGTCCACCTCCTCGAGTTTAGCCAGCCCGACCCCCCCTTCAATTTCTGCAAAATGACCTGCCCCTCGAAGGGCGCTCTGTCTGGAAGTGGGGCCGAAGCGAGACCCCCGTGTATTGCTAGACCGCTGTCCTTAAGTAACACTGACAACACAGTCGCCTCTGCCGTTGTCTCTTACCCTCTCAGCGCCGTTGCCGCCGACATTGTCGATTGTTCGCAGAGGGGTTTCGTCGCTGGTCGCTCGCTCATCGATAACCTCGTCGAAGTTGATGCCTTTTTATCACTTCTGGGGTAATTGTGCGACCTTGAGGGCAGCGGAGCCACGCTCCTCGATTTTAAGCGGGCCTTCCCGTCGGCGTTCCACGACTGGGTCCAAGCTGCGCTCGCCAAGATTGGCATTCCTGCGTGCGTCCGTTTCGCCACTGCCGCCCTGCGCGCGCAGATTTGGACGATGGCGCCGATCTCTGGAGCCCAAGGTTTCGGTTTCTGAGTTCCCCGTGGTATGAAACAAGGATGCACGATGAGTTGCGTTTTATTCGCGATTTTCCTGAACCCAGTTCTTGTTTGGATAAAAAGGTACCAGTCGCCCGATCAGCTCATTTTTCCAGCCTTGGCAGACGACCTAGCGTTGGTTGCGAGGAACCTGCCGCGGGTGCTGCCCATTGTCGTCAAAGAGCTGGCATTCGCTATCCAGTGGGCGGGGCTCATCCCTAATCTCGAGAAATGCCATACTATGACGTTGCACATCCCCGACAAAGGCTCCGCTATCCGCCTCTTCCTGGACGCCCCCAAGAAACTGGATATCAGAAACTTCTCGCTTGGTTCCCCGGGGTTCTACATCGGTATCATCATAGGGCCCGATGGACATTATAGATGTTGGCACGCACCTGCCGCGAAGTTATTTGAAATAGCACGCGCATCAGGGCCATGGAGTTGGGGCTGCACCTCTCTCTCTCTCTCTCTCTCTCTCTCTCTCTCTCTCTCTCTCTCTCTCTCTCTCTCTCTCTCTCTCTCTCTCTCTCTCTCTCTCTCTCTCTCTCTCTCTCTCTCTCTCTCTCTCTCTCTCTCTCTCTCTCTCTCTCTCTCTCTCTCTCTCTCTCTCTCTCTCTCCGCCTTCAACGCCTTCGCCCCCCCCCGTCGCGCCCCATGTCGCCCAGTGCTACGACCCCAGCCCTCTGGTTCTCAATCGAACTCGCGAAGGTCTCCAGAGGCTAACCAACGCCCCGAGGTTCGCTTTCGCGCCCATCTCTGTCCACCACCTCAGAATGATCGGCCTCGAGCGCGAGGCGCGCGATTTGAAGGCGATGGCCCCTGCGGCGATGTTGCGAACGGCTATCCGCTCCGAGGCCTTCGACCGCATGCGCCAGTGGCTGGTAGAAATACAAGAAGATGGTGATGACTGCATTGCCCCAGTGGCCCGGTTCCCTTGGGAACAGTCCATCATTGCGTCCATGAAACGTACCTGCGAGAGATACCATCCGTCTCTTGAGCACCCGCGTGACGTGAGGCCTAAGTTGCTACAAGACAAGATTGTACAGTTTTTGAAAACAAGGTTTTTCCTGCCCCTGACGCTCGTGATTTGATTATCTCCCGCCTGGGTTACTGGCTCTCTTTGGCCGCTGGCCCCGAAGTGGACCTAACTTTCATGCGTCATCCGTTTATCAGTAAAAGGGCGCC